TTCTTCACCAGTCTCAACCAGCTCCACATAGTTTTCGACCTTGTGATTGCCCAGGAAGCCACGAACCACTACGACAAAGCTGTTCCAAGCCGCTTTCTCCTTACTAGTGAACTTCTTGGGGAATTTATTAGGGAAGAAGTCTTGAAGGCTGCCGACTTCTTATCTACAGCTCTGACAGATTGTTTCATAAGGCCAAATTTGATGTGCAGTGGTGGCATCAGCACCTTCCGGGGGTCCAGCAGTGGCTCCCACTTGACGTTGTTCCTCCCCACACAGAATTCGGTCCGTTGTGGCCAGTCCAGCCTGTGGTAGTGCGCCTTGGTGTCCCTGTTGTCCCAAAGGCAAAGATAGCAGGGAAACTTGGTAAGACCGCCTTGGAGACCCATCAAGAATGCCATCATTTTGAAGTCTCCGATGACCTCCCAGCCGTACTCATCATACTTCAAGGCGTCCAGCAAGGTCTTGATGCTGTTGTCATCTTCTTTGAGGTGCACCGAGTGAGCCAGGGGAAGAGACGGGTACTTGTTATCATTATGGAGCAGCACGGCTTTGAGGCTCCTGGATGAGCTGTCAATGAAGAGGCGCCACTCATTCTGGTTACAGGCGATTCCGATTGCCTCGAACAGACTGGTAACATTGTGGCAGAAGCAGAGCCCATCTTGACAGGTGAAGAAGCTGCAAAAAGGTTGGTGACGCTTCCTCTGATCTGCGACTTGCACACTTTCATCCAACAAGTTCCAATGCTTGAGCCTAAACTTCAAAAGCTCAGCATTGGACTTTGTGAGAGCAAGATCTCTGATCAAGTCGTTGAGATCTTTTTGGTTGGGGTAGTATGGGTTTCTCTCCTCAGCTCCACCTCTGAAATTGTCATCTGGATCTGCAACGTCTTCCTCGCTCTCTGACTTGCTGCTCTCTTCTAAAGACGGCTGCTCTCTCTCCGGAGGAGTGGGTACGGGGAGCTCATGGCAGTGTGGCACCGGGGCGATGGATGAAGGAAGGTCCGGATACGTGATAGCAGGTGCATTCTTGCCAGTCCGACGTTTGGAAGGGTCCACCATGCAGAAGTAGCAGCTGCTTGAGTGGTCAGTGGGTTCTCACTAAATTCTTGGGATAGCGAACTTCATGGCTCTCTTTTCCCCTCTGTACCATTCTACAAAAATACAGTTATTTCACCCATGACTAATGTGTAAGAGATTCTCGCAACATTTTTCATACGGGGCCATCCATAAATGACGTCACGCGATTTTGGTCGATTTTTTACCCCCCCCTCCCCCCCTCGTCACACGGCGTCACAAAAAGTCAGACCCCCCTCAAATATGACGTCACAAAGCTATGCCCCCCCCTAAAACCATATTTCCATTTTGAAAATAAAAGATGCTTCAAATTGCTTTAAACTATTGTCATTGTAGTGCGTATTTAATTAGGCGCTGCACTCTGATGCTGTAGGAGAAAACACTGATTAAAAAGTAGGAGTTGGAAAGCTGAAATTTAGCGTAAAATTCACTTGAAAATATTCATCGTCTAACCAAAACTGCAGATGTTCAGGATATTATATTGAAATTCTCTCATAATTATCAAATACTAGCTTTACTACCCAGCTTCGCCCGAGACTTGGATGCTTGTCTTGGATTAATACATTTTTCATTTCCATAAGGGTACTCCGTAGTTAAATTAAAGATTCCTAAATGGTGAAATTCAGTCACTCATGGTTCATAGTAGGACAATGGCGAAAAAAAGCATGACGCCAGAACTAAAATTGAAGGGAGGAATAATGAATCATGGAGGACGCGTTGGCTATTGCACGTTTGCCGAATGACGTGTATTTAGTAGGTACTCCGTGATTAATTACCCCTCCATGCTCAAAAATGGCTGTTTGACGTCCTCCAAATGGACAGCCCCCCCATTATTATTACCTACTATAATGAGCCAAGAATGTTTGTGTGCAATGCTTGTGACGTTACTCCACGTCGACCAGCTCCCCTCATGAATAATCATGAACAGGTAACGTCACTCCACAAGTTTTAGATTTACTGCAATACACCCGTCCTTGAACGGGCAAAAGTCTCGTGAAAGGATAATGACAAAAAGTAGCCAGGAAAAGTACGTTAATTCCCTAAACTTGGTTTCTGTAGGCAGCCGTCTGTGTGTTCCTTACGGACTAGTCCAGCACAAATACAGTTTCCCTGTCTTATTCTCGTGTTTTGTGGGCTGTAAATAAAACAGCAGTGTCCAAATCACATCCAGGTTATTCAGCTTCTTCACTGTTTACAAAGTGCCAAATTACTGCCTGGTATACAGGAGGTCGTGGGTTCGATCCCGACCATGACGCCTGTATATTTGGAGTTTGCATGTCTCTCTCCCCGTGGTCGTGTGGATTTTTCTCCAGGTCCTCTAGTTTTGCCCTCCACATTTAGAATTCACACGCATTTAGAGTATTTGGCTGCTGTACATTTCCACATGATAAGCCACTTCGTTGAGCTAGCACTTGTGGCCAGGTCGCTTCTGAAAAATAACTCTATATAGCTCAGCGGGCCTTACCTGGTAAAATAACAATAGTTTAAAGAGTTTTAGTTTATAGGTGCGATTCAGAAACATTGCCAGGATGTCATCGCTGTGGATTCATTCTCCGATAACGGCTCCTCGAGAAACAAAAAAAATGGCAGAATGTGTCCGCCACTATCCCTCTGAGAAGTCTTGGACTCTCTTCTGCTTTTCCAAATTCTCATTTTGAGCCACTTCCCCCCTCCCCTTCCCCTCCGCCCCCCACCCCCCCCCCCCAAAAAAAAACCCAGTGAATTCTGGGAGAAGGCAGTCCTCACGGCTCCCCATAGCTTGAACTTTATCTGCCATAGGGACCTGCATAACAACTGCCGCTGGGGTCTGCCCCAACGTCCAGACCTGCATCCATCACCAGCGCTGTTGCCATGCCACCACATCGACGTCCTCAAATGCCTGCCAGGTCCTAGCCGCGGCATTATTGCTCAGGCGTAGCTGCTTAGGAAACAACTGGGTACTGGGCCATCCACTTGGACATCTGTGAAACTCCTTGACATCTGTGAAAGAGAGCTTCGGAGCGAAATCGGATTCTGCTGGGTAGCTGACCCGCATACCGCATCGTACGTCTCTGCTCACGAGGCACAACAGTTAAGGCTGCTGACGTGTTGACAGCTTTCCCTTCATATTCGTGGTTCTTTCGGTAAAGTCACGTTGAAGGGAAAACAATAAAATAATAACATATATGTAGAAACAATACAATTCTCACGACGTTTCGACTGCAACACATTTTATTGTTTCCCTTCAACGTGACTTTACCGAAAGAACCAAGAATATGAATCACTGCAGTCACGAAAGCTTTAAATCAAAGCTTTCTCTTCCACAAGAACAACAAGCACCGTTGAGTGTAAGCAAACGTTTTATTTAAAGTGCCATGATTGCAGAAAATGGTTGAGATGTTTTATGGAACCTGGTACGGAGTTATGAGCAGAAATTCTACGGTTTTGTTAGGGGCCGCTCTCTCCATCCCACAACCTCAGGTGACTTCCCACAGATGCGAGACAACCTTACTCTGTGGTGATGATGATGATGATGACAATGACAAGCTATATCGAGCCATACAGAGCCTGTACATTATCCTATTTATAAATATAGAAAACGTGCAGTTATTTGCACCAGAGATATGCACTTTAGCAATTACGTGGCAATTGTGAAAAAAGTCTGCATTCCCAAGTTAATGCTGTGGATCTATTGAGTGCACAGTGTGACAAGTGGCAGATGCATGATTTGTGACAAATCAGGGTCATGAAGGGACATGTGCTTTAATCTATAAAGCTTCCACTTTATGCATTACTCCACACTGCACACTCTTTCATACAATACTATACCTAAGCACAGCACCTTACTTTCCTTTAGATCAAGCAGGTGTTTATAATGATTCATTCACCAGTCTCTGCGTAGGACAACCACTGTTGACTTCTCACAAGATTACTTTCATTTTATTGACCAAATGCCAAGTTAACCCCCCCCCCCTGACTGTGATTAGAAATATCAATCTTACAATTTCCGTGGGCACTTAACCACAGCGCCACAACACACACACACACATATATCAATACCTGCCATTCGCCACTAAGTGACGGTGACGTCAGCGTGGCGCATGTGCCATGGCAGGTGCAACCTGGTCTGTGGCACGAGCTTATTTCGGTGTTTCCACCGTGGTGCTTTGTAGAGAAAGTGCCAGGTGGAGGGGTCACCAGTCGCTCACACCCACTGATTATATATACGCACACACACAAACATGTGTGTGGAGACGTTCTAGCCAAATGCCCTGACAATCAAAGGGCGATGCTTATCCGACCCCCCCCATCTTGCTAAGTGCACACAAGCTAAAGCAACGACGCCAGCGGAATGTGATCTTTCAACTGCTAACCAAAGTCAATTTCCTTTGAAGTCACACCCTGGCTCCCATTGACCGGTTTCCCTCTCATAGCCATGGTGTCCAACTTAAAAAAAGACAGCCAAGCCTCCAGGTGGCTTTCGGAGTTCTTAAGACGAGAAAACACTGGGTGCATGATAATGCCGTTACAAGCACACATGCAGTTGAATGACGGGGTTTTTTTAAGTCGTATATCGCAAACGGCCGGTATTCGTACACCATGCAGACCATCACGTGCTTTTTGGAGTAGTTTTTTTTTTCACACGAATGTTATGTGTTGCTTTAATGCCGGCCGTGTTTTGTTTTTCTTCAGATATCTCAATTTTTAATGGGTGGTTGCTGTCAACCAGAAGGTTGTGAGATCAAACCGTGGTTCAGCCTGTTTTCAATACTGGTCCAGATTCTTACAAACCGAGTTCTTAAAAAGCACGGTCTTTTCTTGACAATAACCCAGACCTCCCTTGCAAGGGACACTGTGGCATAATGGGCTAGCACAGATTTTCAAAAAATGCGGGGAACTGTTAAATTGATTTCAGTGTCGCGTTGCTCCAACACGCGCCGAGCTTACCTGAGGAGGCTGTCGTCATCGGCAATCACAAGCCACGGCGTGTGCTCAAACGCGGGATCGGAGTTGAATCTCTCCAAAATCGCAAACGTCTTGGCGCAATGACCTGCGTCTCATCAACACCACCAACACCACCCAGGCAAGCAGGTGAGATGGAGTTTGGCGACCAGGGTCAGGTACATTGGCTGGGGCAGTGTGAAAATATTCCACTCTTGTGAGTCCTCTTTGGTCATTGCCCCCTTGTTTTTTTGTTGTTGCCATTTTATTGAACAATGATTATCCTAACCGTATTATTCAGATTCATGGAAAAGGTGAAGCATCCTTAAGAGAGGTTGTTTTTTTGGGTTCAATCGCGTAAGTATAAATGTGTCGTTAAATCCACCACTACCCGACACAGCTAATCAGTAAGGTTTGTCACGTCAACAAAACATGCCAATTCGTTACGAGTTTAGCACACCAATGTGTTGGAGAGTAAACCTACATCTACAATTGTAAACTAATTGGCATATTTTGTTTACGTGAAAAACCTTACTAATTAGCTGTGTTGGCTGGTGGTGGGTTTAACGACACATTTATGTTTACATGATATAACCCCAAAAAAACGATTATGGATAATATTGTTCGCGAAAGTCTACTTGTTAAATTGAAGCATTCTTCTGATCTGAAGCTTTCTACAAAAACAGCGAAACAACAAACAAGGTTTTTAACACCCACAAATAGCATGACGATTATTCTAAAGGCAACATTCATGGATCTATCACACACATCTACCAGACTGTTCACAAGCTGCATGTATTTTACCACCATGGTCATTAACGCACACTGCCTTGCAATAAAAAAATGTGTCACCAATGGCTGCATACAAAAATAAAACATTATCATCCATGCTGTATCTGCTGCTGGGCGAAGGCCTTTCAAAGTCGTGGCCATCCCTCATGACCTCGTGATGTAAAAATCCAACTCGCTCCTGCACGTGAGCTGATCTCATCCATCACGTGAAATGTTTTCTTCTAAGCTTCAGTTGGCTAGATCCCAGAAGAGGATCTAGGAAAATGTGTTTCTGCTTGGCAAAACAAAAATTAAACGAAATATTCAGGCTTTTTAGAAAAGTAAAATGAGAAAATATATCACAAAGGTTTGTATATTATTTGCCCTTGGTAAAGACACGGAGCTTAGTCCACTTTAATTATCAAAACAACTCATAAGCAGTCTCCTAAGCATGAAATTATTCTGCCATTGTGAATCAGACTTTCATGGGGACCTCATTCCGCCACCCAGCCAATCAGAGCACATGTCACTCTGAAACAGAAAAACATTACAAAGGCCGTAAGAACAATGTTGCTCGGTGTTGCTGACACGAATGAAACTTGTTCTCTCAGGGTTAGATGGGGCAAGACAGACGACATTGTTGCGAGTAACGCGAACTTCAGTTTAAGACTCACTTATTTATAATTCATGAAAATAAACATGGCGTTACCTGTAGGATGAGTGTATTAGTATCATGGAACCAATGAGATAGACAGTAGAAATGTGGCAAAGAGAAATACAAGGAATAAACATACAAGACCGATAATACGGTTGAGGCTGACATGACCAATGAGACAAACAATTGATTCTAGAATCGAATCCTGACCCCAAAATCCTCACAGTTCATCCAACAACTTCGACAGTGAATCAATGCACGCCTCCTAAACATATCCAAAACACCATACTTGTGTTTCATAGAGTCTTTAGTGGCTGGGCTGTAGGCTCTCAAATGAACGCACATGAGGAAATGTTTAAACTTTGGTTGGGATCCCAGGATACTCGGGTGATGCTGGCTCGGGGGGCTCGAACAGGCCGAGCGTTATCTTAATGGAGCCACCCAGGCATTTCAGCGAGTCTGTTAACAATAAGCGTTGTTTGTGTGCGCAGGCTCACCCCTCTCCGTGTTGGGCACCCCTAAGTCGACGGTGGGGATGTCTGCGTCGAGCGTGTCGCTGTAAAACGCGAGACGAGACGCCCGAGTCCCCCACGTCCTCTTCAACACTGGCACTGCAACACACAGACACGCAACGCAACCGACCGCACGCCACGCGTCGATCCGCTCAGGGGGGGGGCTGTTCCTAGAAGCATCCCCGGCGTGTGGCATTACAAGTTTCACCCTCCATTGCCGACCTCTGGGTGCCACTCCGGTGTCCGTTTCGTTAACCTGCCTCCCTCCATCTCTCGCACGCATGCCCCACCCCCCCCCCACACCCCCACCCATCACAACCTCTTCTTCCTGATGACATCTAACATCCTTCTTGCCACATTATATTCCTGGGACGAAACGGCAGGCACGTGAATTGCCGTGCAAACAAATCAATACTCTTGTGTTTGATGCCTGTGCGCATAAGGGACCTCAGTTGCATGCAAGACCTCATAGTGCCTTGTATATTCCACAAAATCGACAATGCTTTCTTGCCACATTCCAAGTGGCGTACCCTATCCTGCGATGGAACACCTGTGCTTTACGAGAAGCAGGGTATCCCTCTCGTTGCAGAGCAGAGTCAAGTCAAAGCCAAAGTGTCTAAAAGTTTTAACCAGCATAGGGGCGCGACACTGATCTCTGCTGACAGTTGGACGGTGCAGAGTGATTAGACTGCTCAAGTTACATTTGGAAGGTTGCTAGTTGCAATCCGAGTTTAAAGTTGACATATCCTCTGTCCCTTCCTCACGTGATATACAATGAGAACGAGTCTGTGGGAGAACTTTCAACAGCAGTTGTTCTGCGGAATGGCTTCTGGGCTGTAACTAATACTAGTGTCGAGGAGAAAGGTGGAGACGTGACGTCATGCGCGCTGTCCAGTGCGATTACGTCATGTGACGTGACGTCATGCGCGCTGGGCGGGGGCGATGACTTCATGCCTCACAAGGGTACTTAAGGGGGACCCCCCCCCCCCAACGACGAAAGCGGGGTCGTTGTGGGAGCCCGGGATAGAGAGCGGTGGAAGAGACAGCCAGGGGCAGAGCTCAAGGAGTCTGGAGAGAAGCCGGCAGTAGTCATAGAAGGTGCTGCTCTCCCCGGTCGGTCGGTGTTGGCTGAACCCCCGATCCGACTCGAGGCAGAGAGCCCTGGAGCTAGCAACAGACAGAGTGAAGGTCCGGGTGAAGGACCCAGTGTAGAACCCCTACCCCCTGGGGAAGTTATCCGCACCCTTAATAAATAACTGGCGCAAGCCCTGAACTGAAGACCTGCCTCTGCGTCATCATTTGCACCTCAACACTAGTCTAGATATCTATTGCTTGATGTTGATATTCATCATTGTCTTCATTCTCGCCCTACTTAATGCATGGCGCAGTTATTCTGCACTGTTTTTAAGTGCATTTTTATGTTTACAATGGAGGCTTTATGAGACAGTTTGATAATTTGAAGCTTTGATAGCATTTTTTATATTTAAAGCTTTCGTGACTGCAGGGGTTCATATTCTTGGTTCTTTCGGTAAAGTCACCACGTAGAAGAGAAACAAAATAATACAAATATAAAACAATAAAATTCTCGCGACGTTTCGACTGCAACACAAGCAATCATCACCTGATGATATATTTTTATTATTTTGTTTCCCTTCTACGTGACTTTACCGAAAGAACCAAGAATTTGATAGCATTGTTAAATAAAATAGATATTTTAAATACATTGTTTATTATAAGTAATTTTGAAAGATTATTTATTTTTAGTTCTTATGTCATGAAAAACGCCATGTCTCAGACCGCATTCGTGAACACAAAGCAGACCTTAAACACGGTAGGACCAACACCTCGGCCGTGGCAGATCATTGTTATAATTCAGTAGGCTCACATGACATTGACTTCTCCAAGACAGAGGTTCTTTGTAAGCCATCTGGCTACCATGAGAGATTCGTTCATGAGGCTATCCACATATACAAGCACAGAGACAATTTCAACCGAGAAGATGGATTCTGGCTTAGCAATCATTGGAAAGATTTGATAAACCATTTCAGGTCTTAATTGATTGTTCACGCTTACAGTGGCTTTCAGACAGCATACATTAAATTTTTCGTCTCCCCCCTCCTCTTTTCAGAACATAGATGGACTAGTCCTTCTAAATAAACTGCCAAATCACTGCGTGTGGCGCTGACGTTTTTTTTTATAAATAAGTACACCGTTTAAAAATAAATAAATTTATGCAAACCGACACACCTGATGACGACCGTTTGTGTTATGGTCAAAACGTCGTGAGAAATTTTTTATTGTTTTATATATATTAAAATTGTATTGTTTCCCTTCAACGTGACTTTACCGAAAGAACTAAGAATAGAAAGTATAAATCAATTGCTGCCGATGTTTCAACACCAAATGCAATCTTGGGCAAGGCAGCAAAACAAAAACAGTCCCATACCACACCAAGACAACACACAGTCCCTCAATAAAAGTACACATTAAAATATAACTGTCGATACATGTGTAGTGACATGGAATGGGTCACTACGTAGCATAGCGCTGTTTGCTGGCAGAGAAGGGGATCTGCAGTTGCAGCAGCCCTGACTGGCAGAAGGCCACGTGATAAACCAGAAAGGGATGTAGGGGAAAGGTTACAGAAGGGGCAAGTGAGGGAAGCCCGGGAACCCGCTAGTAGGTTCTGGGGCGGAGCGAGGCCACGCTGGGGGGATAAAAGGGGACCCCGAGCAGGAGCTCGGGGCTGTTGTTGGAGTGGGATCCCGTCGTCGTGCTGCTAGAGTCTTCGTCTACGTCTTCACCTGCTCGGCGTGGTCGTCAGTCAGGCAGTCTGCCAGCTGTCCTGACTGGGAGCTGTAGTTACTCTGCGTCTCTGAGTCAAGTCACTACACATGGGTAAGGATCAAAGTTACAAATCACATTTGCAAATTTGATTGGATCCAGCGCTAATCTTCTGCTTCAGAATATTTTTTGAAGATTTACAATGTTAAGGGAGGAAACAAGGTTGTTGTTGTTGTTGTTGTTCCAAAATGTTGGTGCTGCAACGGCAAAGGCTTTGTCACCTATTCCAATTCTTGTTCTTGGGATAGTTAAAAGGCAATTAGATGGACGTCTTAAGTTTATTGGTTTTGACAATAATTAGCTACGTATAGTGCACATTAGCCAGTTAGGATTGTATGGATGAACAGGTTTAGTTTGTTTAATGATTCATTGGTAGCTGATCTCTAAGCAGCGGCATAGTAGTCAAAGAGTGATACAATGATAGCTTCAACAATTTGCAGGTGCAATAAAATGGGGAAACAATGTTTGTTTCTGTATATAAATAACATATTTCTCTTGCCTCAGCAGTTTGCCTGCTGTATTTTCTCACCTGAAGACGATTGCTCGTGTTGCGATCGAAACGTCGTGATTTTTTTTAAATGAATTTTTCTATCTACGTGAACTTTACCCAAAGACCCAAAGAGTGTGAATTCCTGCAGCCACGAAAGCTTTAAGTAAAGATTCAGGTTCAGTCTGTTTAGCGATTCATTGGTAGCTGATCTCTAAGCAGTGTCACAGTAGTCAAAGAGTGATACAATGATAGCTTGAACAATTTGCAGACGCAATCGAATAGGGAAACAATGTTTGTTTCTGTATAAATACCATATTTTTATTCGATTTTCTTTGAGATGTGATCAATATGCAGTTGGAATGTAAGTTCTGAATCGATCAGTAAACCCAAGTATTTGAAGCACTCCGTTTGTTCAATGATGTTGTTTCTAATATCCATAAGAGGTGAAGAGAATGATGCTGGATTTTTTTTAAGCAGAAATCGTGTTGGAGATTACGTTTAACTTCGTTTGGAGATTTACCCGATACTAGCATCACAGTGTCATCAGCAAAGATATTTAATTCTGATTTAAGTTTAGTCCAAGATTGTTTAAATATAAGAACAGAATTGAACCCAGCATGGAACCTTGTGGAACACCCTTCGTTATTTAAATATTTGTGGATGAGATGTTGGCACTATGTATTTTTTTTAGAACAGTCTAAAAGGTAGCTCTTAAACCGTATTATTGTACTGTCTGAAAAATGAATTTGCCCCAGTCAACAGTATCAAAGGCCTTTGATAAGTCGAGGAATAGTGCATAGCAGTAGTGGCCTTTATCCAGGTTAATGAAGAAAAATGTGAATACATCCATCATTGCTGTGGTGGTGCAGTAATCCTCTCAAAAACAGAGTATTAACTCTACAGGAGAATGTGACAATTTATGTAGCAGTTTATTGGTGATTGAAGTATATTTTTATCGAATATTTTAGTAACTGGTGAAAGAATAGAGATTCGTATTTAATTCATGGGACCGCCTTTGCCAGTACCAAAATATGATCATAGGTTGTTCCCCTTTTTCTTCTAGCAACAAAACAGCTGTGTTAAGATGTTAGAACACCAAACTGAAACCTTTTACAAGGAATCATGTCTGCATTAACCACAATGTTTGTGGTCAGAAAACAAACAAAAAACACTCGGATAATATATGCATTGCCTTTTGGCGTCCTCTGGTTTAACACCGTTTGAGACAAGGCTCAAAAGAAAGCTGTCTCTGGTGTGGACCAATCAGTTTCAAGGACAATGTATATATTATCAGAGTATGTTTTTTGTTTGCATTCTGACCACAAGCATTGTGGTTAATGTGGACATGATTCCTTGTAAAAGGTTTCAGTTTGGTTTTTTAACATCTTAACACAGCTGTTTTGTTGCCAGAAAAAAGGGAACACCCCTATTATCATAGTATTTAATTATTAGGCGTATTCACAATGGGGAGAGAGAACATTTTCATTTATAGGGTTGGTCTATTTTGAGTTACAGATGTCACACATCCAGTAAAAAAAAATGTACATATCAATTAGCACCGGCTAAAAAAAGAAAAACATATCTCGAGCATTTATGGAAAAGGTCGCAATTCTGCACACTACATTTACCACTCAATCCACCAACGACAACAGCGGATCAGCACAGCACAATTTTTTTAACGGTGCGATGGCTGATACAGTGAACTACAAACGCAGTCTAATGCCTCGATTCGATGAGCACTTGGAAAGAGACCCTGCCTAGGGCCAGCCCAGAAACAGTCCAGGAATGCCCTCCCCGTACACAGCCCTCAGCTCCCAAGCTGGATACAATATTAAGATGTGGTGGTCTCAAGCTCCTCCGGCCAGCTCGCCCAATCATTTTTTTCACTCTGCAGCCAAGGAGTGGCTGGTAAGAAACAACGTTAAAAACAATAGTTTTAGGAGGTGGCCCATGTGGCTTGGAGAGCTACTCAAACCATGTTCAGAACACCGAGCTCGCAACGCTGAGGATACTGGGTTAAATCCGGCAAGCCAATCAAGGACAATTGCTCCAAACGTAAAACTAATTAACTCCTGTATCATGCCAATGATATAAATACTGGAATATAATTGGAGGGGGAAATGTAAAACAAGTTGTTTTAATATTCTTGGTTCTTTCGGTAAAGTCACGTAGAAGGGAAACAATAAAATAATACAAATATAAAACAATAAAATTATCACGACGTTTCGACTGCAACACAAGCAATCATCATCAGGTGTGAACACCACAACAAGAAAATTTCACACCTGATGATGATTGCTTGTGTTGCAGTCGAAACGTCGTCAAAATTTTATGGTTTTATATTTTTATTATTTTATTGTTTCCCTTCTACGTGGTGACTTTACCGAAAGAACCAAGAATATGAATCGCTGCAGTCACGAAAGCTTTAAATCAAAATTTAAGCTGTTTTAAATCGTTTTAAATGTAGCCGTGGGTTAGGCTAGCCTAATTTTAAAGTCAGTCTCATTTTTAAATAAATCAATACGGCGTAGTTTGCAATTAAATGCAGCTGGTGGCTCAGCGAGTCAAGTGACATTGTGGCGGTGCTGCTTGATGTCACGCCTGATTTCAGCGGTCAGGGTCACCTCGCATGAATGCGGTGCAGAATGCTCGGCGAAGAGGCCCATGGCAGCCCAATTCAGAACCGATCGCGGAACGTCCTCCAATGCCATGTTTTTCGCTGATCACCATTGAAATGTCACAAAGTGGTGCTTGTGTTGTTGATAACAGGCTAAATCAAACCGTGGCCAAGGTTTGAACTCGCAACATTCCGATTGACAGTCAAGCACTCCAACCACAGAAGCTTTTGAAAATACAAATACCGTATACACCGTAGACCCACAAACACAACTACAGTATTAGTACCTCCCCTGCGGGATTAACTAAAATACACACGTTGCAGTGTTATTCTGAGAACAAATCATATGGATCGCTGTCTCAACATATCGACTGAACGGCAAAGGCAAAAGTAGCATGCCATTGCTGGAAAGTACAAGTACATTTTCAGCCAAGAGGCTTTAAAATGTGTGTATACAGCCTTGATCGGTTACCATGGTATTAAAGAGGCATCCAAGGGTGGGGGGGGGGGGGCAAACGGAGACCAATGTTGCTGGGCACTGAAGCCAGAGGCCCCATCTCTTAAGCTTGCCCCCTTAGGGAGCAATGTTCAATTTTCAGCCGACAACCACCAAGAAATGGGGGTTTACAGAGGCCCCCAAAATCGAGCATGGCCAGATTGATATGGTGTTACATAAGCGAAAAAAACCCAGTAACACTGAATACTTGTGGTTGAAAATTAAGAACGTATCTAGGATTAAACATCCAAATGACATCAACCAACAGATTATGTTTAAGCTTGACCGCACAATGTTTTACTCTTGATAATGACACTGTACGACACAAGGTGAAAAGATAATTTCACAATCAGGTCTCTGAGTAATGTGTTACATTACATATTATATTTTCAATGCCTGAATGCAGTTCATGAAATTACATGAAGAACCCATTTTATTTTTCAGTGACAAATAGTGCATTCAGTTTCCAAGTTCATGGAACAAGCACATTTTACATTTCTACACAGGAAGCTTTGTACATGATCGGTATGTATGTTGAATTTATTTCGCAAAATACGTAGGCCAACCATGTTAATCCAAATGTATTCTCTGCAAATCTATTAATTGTGTAACATTGTTCTTTGTAAACAACCATGCTGTATATCAGAATTAGTTGGAGAGTGTATTATACTAATATACACACCAAATTAAGTAGAATATGCTTATCATATAGTGGGAGTGATGGGTAATGAGACAAATAAAAAATATATATTTATTTCAGAGATAAAACATCCACTGAAGCTAGGGCAGGCCAGGGCACCTGCCCATACCAGCAGAGTCGTATCGAGATCCACAACACAATGACGGTGCCTTGTACGTACATAGAACTTCTTTTGCAACGTACGTAGCCAATTGTGATCATCGGAGGTGCCTTTGACCGTGCAGCGATGATGAGCTCGTTTCAAGAAAGCCATCAACCCTACCCCTCTTTGGCGTAGCGAGGCGACGGGAGTTGGCCAAAAACTTGGTTGCGGATCCGGGGCGCAAACGACGCTGCAAAAGCGACAACATGGCACGCTCTGCGTTCGTGGGTTGGTTAGTCGTTTTGAGTTTGCATTTCAAAATCTACGCTCGTACGCCGGGATCGCTCGCTCACTGCCCTGCTGCTAAAGATGGGCGTCCCAGCCCGCTGCCCACTTCCGCAGCCATTTAAAAAAAGTAAAATAACAAAAAAATATCTCTCGTTACCCAGCGCTGCAGCGATATAATAAGCATATTGTACATTTTGATTTAAAGCTTTCGTGACTGCAGAAATTCATATTCTTAGCTCTTTCGGTAAAGTCACGTTGAAGGGAAACAATAAAATAATAAAATATATGTAAAACAATAAAAATTCTCACGACGTTTCGACCATAACACAAACGGTCGTCATCATCAGGTGTGATGATGACCATAACCATTTGTGTTATGGTCGAAACGTCGTGAGAATTTTTATTGTTTTATATATATTTTATTATTTTATTGTTTCCCTTCAACGTGACTTTACCGAAAGAGCTAAGAATACATATTGTACATGTTGGCATCTGGGTTAGTGTTGTGCAAGGGCACGTGCATGTGACCGCTCGCCCAAAACCATCGTGTCTGTGACAAAATGGGGACATCTTGACATCATTACCAACACTTTTGTGGTAAGTCAATAATAGTAATCCCGTGGAGAGACTGGCACTCACCACATGAATAAGGAATTTCCTCCACATGCTCAGGGCTGCCAATGGAAGGAAGCGCTGTCCCATAGCCATTCACAGCAGGGACACAATCATTCTGACTGGGATAGGCATAGGTAAGCAATGACTGTTTGACTGAAATAGGCATAGGCAGGTTGTTCGTGTTTATTGAAGTTAAACTAAACTATAAACTATTTTTCTTTTACCAGGTAAGACCCACTGAGGCATAGGACTCTTTTTAAGAAGCGACCTGGCAATAAATGATAGCTCAAGAAAGTGGCTTATCATATGGAAATGTCCAAAAGCCAAATACTCTTAACATGTTTCAAAATGTGGAGGGGAAAAACCGGAGGACCCAGAGTAAAATACATACGACCACAAGGAGAGAGAGAGAGAGCACATGCAAACTCCAAATATACAACAGAATTCAGGGTCGGGGTCGAACCCACGACCATCCTGCATACCAGGCAAAGGGAGTTAACATCTCGCCAACTCTGAATCCCCCGGTATTCATGACGTACATCGCTGAGCCGAGGACATTATACGTACCGTCAATCGGCGTTGAAATAGGTGGTGAAAGTGAGCTGAATACAAATCGGAGAAATGTCACTAACCGCTGGCATAATAATGTCCACATGCAACATCATATGAGAAAGAGCGGTCAGAAAAATTAAAGAAAAAAACAACGTCCAGCTCCTCTGCGTTGTGCACATAAACGGGGACAGGTCGTAATTGATGGCAGAACATGCAAACTCCAAATATACAACAGATATCAGGGTCGGGGTCGAACCCACAACCTCCTTCATACCAGGCGAGGCAATTAACATCTCGCCACTCCGGCATCTTCTAATTATTCACGAACGGTGCACAATATTTGACACTACTGGATGTTAATAAATATTTTAGTAATTAACAACAAATAATTAAACTTTCATTAATTTTGACCCTTGGAAAAACAAATTAGACTATCATGAGAAAAAATATATATATATACGTGCCATGGTTATGTATATGCTAACAACACAGTTGTGCACAGCTTACCTCTGTCAATGTAAAATTTGTGACAAGTCTTTATAGCAAAAAAAATCTTGTCGTCTTCCACTGGCTCCCCCTACAGAAGAAAACAACGTGATATATGTGTGTGCTTCATGTCGTACATTGAAACCAAACATTCAGTTGGAAAGAAGCATTGACGTTAGAAGGGGAATAGTTAAAGATAGCTGCAAGGACATTTCAACAGGCATGATAAACAGTTTTAGAATCGGCTGTAGCTGCTGTGGACAGATCTTTGCCTTCACCACCCTCATTAAAGCCGATCTCCATCGTCAACAGCAAACTGGCACAGCAATGAATGACCTCGCTGCTGCTGCTGCTGCCTGTGACACAGTTTGGTGTCATGGCCTGCTCCTGAAGTTGGCCAAAATTATCAGGTTGCCATTCTACCCCACACCTAATTGACACGATGCTCAGCGACCATACTCTCAGGGTGAACGCCTCAACCAAAAACACAGCCGGAAGATAATTATTATTATTACCGATGGTCTCCCTCAAGGCTTCGTGCTAGCGCAGTCGCTAATGAACATATTAATACACACGGTAAAACCTCGTTATTTCGGTAATTTGATCATTCATAAATTGGGGATAATTCGGCATGGCAGCGCTTTCGGCAAATACAGAGTGTATTAGTAAATTTAGCATGAGCCAAATTGCCGTACCGAATGGTCCAATTTCGGCACGCACGTGGAGCAACACCACGCGCCATGACCAAAACAATGGCTCAGTCTAGTGGCGGCGCGCGTGGTGAGCATTAGTGCAGACCTGTGAAGTTTAATTAAAATATGAAGTTTCATTCAGCGTCATTTGGTGTTTAGTGATAAAGTGAACACGCAGTACAGTAAGTGCATACTAAGTACATTAAGCCCCCTGTTGTATATATAGGCCTTTTTTCAAAAAATAATATTAAAAACAATTCTGCCAATTTTTTTAATAATAAATAAAATAAATAAATATGCCACCGCTACCTCCCACAAGCACCGAGCATCTGGAGGTCTTAAAAGGCCATTAAATAATAAACTCCGGGGCAAAGGGAGGTTAGCGACTATCTGCAAAATCTCCAGATTGCCAAGGACCACATACCATGACCTGTTTGACACTTTTGACAGTTCACAAACATATCCAGAATCACAGGCACAGACACAAGTGCACAGGGCAAACGAACATTATAACTGATATATATTTTTTTCACGGAAAAAGTTAAAGCTTGGCTATAAGAATAAGTCAATATTAGTGGCTTGATTATTACTTACTCTATTTCACCCTTATTCAACTCACATATTGTTTCTTATTGTATCCTCTATCTACGTGACTTTACCAAGAGAACCAAAGTACATGAGTTCCTGCAAACACGAAAGCTTAAGTCCAAACTAAGCTATATATCCAACCTCCGGATATCGGAAATAACTCGCGAATAAACACCGACCCATGGCAACACAGACTGAGAACAAAGCTTAGCAAAGCCCGGAATCGTGGTGGTAACATCTAAATGGTACATTACAAATCTTGGTTAAACATAAACCAAATAATAATCACAAGAGATAAGACCTGGGCTAATTCAGTAGAGGTACAAGAAAATAGGTCAAACGCACAAAGATCAGATAAATGTATTCCATGAAATCAGAGCCTCCCCGGCCGCCTTTGTCTTCCAACAATTTGACACAAACACATGGCAGCCATAAAATACGCATGAAGGGAGAGTGCCTCCCCTCCCTAATAGGAGAAACCACGAAGAGAGGAGTGGGGAATGCTAACAAACAAAATGTGATGGTAAAACAGTCAAAGGTCAAAAGGGGGAGGGGGCAGCCAGGCCGCTGCTGCCGTGGGAGGAGGACGGTGACAGAGGGGATCTGTTTTTTTTCTCTCGCAAGAGACGCGGAGAGAGGAGAGAGAATTTCACATTTAAGCTCGTCAATGTAGCTCGACGCTCACAGCAGTCGCAGGAGACGGCGACCTTCAGCTCAGAAGAGGACAGCAAGCCAGCCCCCGGGCATGGCATCGAGATCAACAATGCGTGTGGTGCATCGCAGAGAAGAGGGGCGAGGTGATGCTAGGTGCTGAGTTCGGCATGGACCGACAGAGTATCGCTGAAAGTTTATTCTACATCCATCCTGATGTTCTGAGTCGCTTGCAGAATCGAGGATTGCGATAAGCTGCATCGTACTAAGCTATCAGAGTTGTGTAAGAGGTGTGCAAATACAATTTCAAGTTTTGAGAGTGAGCGACAATCATCTCGACAATTCAGTTCAACAAGGGACAGCTCGGCGAGCGCCAGAAGAGGGCGGCGAGCGGCCGGCTCCAAGGGGCCCCGCAATCAACTGAGGATGGCGAGGCTCGCCGAGTAGCGATGTATCAACGAGCGTGAGTTCAGAGCTGAAAGACGAAGTATCGCTCAAAGACTTTTATTTCTACATCGAGTGCCAGCTCCCAGCTGCAGCGCGACCAGCGCCACCAAGCAAGAGTGCCAGCTGCCAGCACCAAGCGTTGTGCCGACTTGGCTCATCCAGCAGCGGAAAGAGCCTGACCAGCCGCCCGTGAGCAAAAGAGTCAGCGGACCAGCGGCGAGCGCGTTCGAGCATCTCCACAGAGAGAGCGCGTGCGGCGCAGCCACTACAGCAGTGTAAGGAGCCTGCTGCTGTCAGCGAACCAGCGGCGAGCGCGTTCGAACAGCTCCACGAAGAGAGCACGTGCGGCGCAGTCCTCCAGCAGCGGAAAGAGCCTGTATCTGCCTGCACGAGCAGCCAAGCCGACGCCCCGAGCAAGAGAACAAAGCAGTTTGTATAACCCTCCCCCCACAATCACACCCTCACGACGCATCACCCAGCGTCTGCTTCACGAAGACACACAACACGCATATCGGGACAATCAAGGAGAGTGACATTCCAAGGTGGTGCATTAAATATCAACTGATCGTGAAGAACATTGCTGCCCATTGAGTTACGTGGATACGGTCATTTAGAAGTATCTCAGTCGTTTGTTTTCTTTTTAATGGCATAATCTTGCCGATGAATCCATTGACGTATACTTTTGCCTTAGGGAAATAATAATTATTTTGACTGCCTTTTCGTATGAATATCGTCGCATAATTTTAAGGACCTCTTATTCCTATTTTGCCATATATGTTCGTGGTACCCAGAGGAAGTAATCAATTGTTCCGTTACCCAATTAACAACGTGATTATTGAGGGTTGAAGAGATGGATCAATGAAATAATAATTAATATTATAGTGTTAAGGTTTATGTTTAGAATAGCGTGCATGCATGTTTTAACGACTCTCCCTATCACCAATTGAGCTCGCGTTACGCGGGGAATTAATCATGTGCAGTTGCCAAAGTGAAACAACGCAATCATTGATGGTTACTGTGTTGGTACTGTGTTGATAACTCCAAGCCTGAGAATTTGCATATCATAGAGTTAAGGTTTTGTTTAGAAATTAAAATTGCTTAACACAGAAGTGGTTGCGTGTTTCTTTCCTGAGTTCAGGCAAAATAATCTTATTTATAAGAACTGTATTCTGCGTTGAGATATGAATTTGGAGACCTGACATAAACACACTAATAGATACTCAGTAAATGTTAAAGCTAGAATAATTGTATTACCGAGCGTTAATACGAGCCTAGACAACGAAGCCGAGCTTACTCTGGCATGCTTGCATCACACTGGCATAACTCCATACGATTAATTGTATGATCCCGATTGATAATCCAACCCTCGTCAGCGAGGCGGGGCTTAATTATCATAACGGTTACATTAGCATAACCACACCCACTCGCATAAATTAATACAATTATCTCTCAAATTGGCATAATTTGTGTGCATAATTACATCGATTAACATAATTTCGGATAATTGCACAAATTCAAAATTTAATTTAATTTTTATTATTTTAATCAAAATTTTCACAACCAACATATACAACACCCCCTCCATGACCTCTGTTACATACCACAGAACCTACCGCATTCTCCTTCGCCTGCAGTGCTGGTGACTGATGGTGTGTTACTTTTTTAGTACAATTATTTTTGGGAAAACAAAGTTAGAAAAAATATATATTTGGGTAGTAGGCACTGTGTAGTACCATTGTACATCATTCGGAATATTGGATAATTTGGCAAGGCCAAAGCCCCATGTGTGTCGCATTAACAAAGGTTTACCGTACGTGACCCGTCATGTACATCACCTCGCAAGTTCATATATGTAGATAACATAAGCCCTTGTTGCACAGGGCACAAACCTCGTGAACATTACCAGTACTCTCACAGCCGATCTAACTTTTTGGCGGCATATTTATTACGCTGGAGACTCCGACCAAATCCTTCCAAAACCACCACAAGTGTTTTCCCCTTGAAAAACGCATGCAATGGATTTTAACCTTGACACCAATCCCCTGGCTCCCTGTTCTGGTGAACATTCTGCCACGAAATATCCGCAAGGAGGTTGCAGAAGCTGCAAAGGAGTTTACACATGTTCTTGCCAACGACAACCACCTATAAACATCACCAACCAAGAACTAAAAAAAGTACCTCGCCGCCAACTGACTCAAATCGCGATCCTTGCTCTGGGATTGCACTGTTACCATCTGAGATTCTCACCCAGATCTGGGAGAACGCTTGCAAAACAGAGTGGAACGATGAGAATGTCCACAACAAACACCTCATTCGAGACCCATTCATCACACCTCTTGGGCTTTGACATTCCTCCTCGAACACTCTGGTGGAACCATCATCCGCATCAGCACATCAACAGGCCGATGTGGACATCTCCTTTATGAATGGAAAATTAAAGACCGGAGACAGTAGTGGGACTGTGGCCATGCAACCCAAGCGAAATATAGTAAATATAGTTAAACCACTGTAGTTTGCACTCCTTTAACAAAGGAATAGCAAAACTACACAAACTCTTTCCCGAAGCCCTTTCATCATGACTAGCAGACTCGACATTGGCATTTAGCTTCCCTCCACATTTAAAATCAACATGACGCATTGAGTATTTGGCTATTAAGAATTTCCATGTGATACGCCACTTGTTCAGCAATCATTTATAGCCAGGTTGCTTCTGAAAAAGAGCTATCTGGTAAAATTACCAATAGCTTCGTAGCTACTGAACATAATGCCATATGAAAGAACTGAATGCGTCTTTTTCAAGCATTTGCTGATATCCTGCAAAGCTACACCCTATCAGTGATTGGGCAGAGACCGTCTACGTCACTCATAAACCATCACGCAAACTCTGGTCATCCTCACAGCGGCTTTTGGCTGGCCATCGAAGAAATACGGTCACTGCATCCCGCACTTTCAGATGCGCATCTGCGGCCATCTGGAACGCTCTTCCTTCAGAAATTAGGAAGCCACTGAAACTTTGCACTTTAAATCATCGAGATTGAAAACTAATTCATTTAGAGCTGCTTTTTGTGTTTCATTTGTTGTCCTTCCCCCGCACCTCCAATTAGCACAGTCGACTACATACGGTACGAAAGAAGTCCAACATACACACTGCTCATGAACCCAGTAGGGACTGTAACTCAAACCCAGTTTTTAGTCAGCATTGACATTTGTGTAAGAAATTTGCCCACCAACATTGGTTGTCAACTTCGAAAATGCTAGATGCTTAAATCTTGACTTAAACCTTTTGTGACTGCAGGAATTCATATTCTTTGGGTCTTTCGGTACAGTCTCATAGATCGGTTCAAAGAAAATAACAAAAAATAACAAAAAAAATAGAGGGAAAGCTGCTGGGGCAGACTGTTTTAAAGGTTTAAAATGGGTGTAGCCCAAGGCTCATAAACTAAGTGAACGGGGCTAGTGATGTTAATGTGAGAAATTAGCATGTTAATGGTAGATCGGAGGGCGACATCTACGGCGATGGTGTGGAGGTGGCTATGTTAATGTGAGAAATTAGCATGTTAATGGCAGATCGCCGAGCAGCAGCGTACGAGCTCGGTGAGCGAGGTGGCTGTGTTAGGGTGAGAAATTTAACCTGTTAAAGTAAAATCAGAGAGCCGAAAATAACAACTAACATCGGAAAGTGGTAGGATGGGAACATCACAGCCAGTTAATTAAGGACATCTCACATAGTTACATTGGGGAAACTAAGCGACATGTCTTGGACCGTGTTCATGAACATAAGGCAGATCTGAAACACGGTAGGACCAATACCTCGGTAGTGGCTGTTCATTGTTTTAATGTGGTGGGCTCACACGAAATTGATTTCTCTAAGACTTTCTACTTTGCAAACCCACTAGCTATCAACAAAGATTCGTTCATGAAGCCATCCACATATACAGACACAACTTCAATCGAAATGGGTATAAACTGAGCAATCAATGGAAGGACGTTATCAACCAGTTTAAGTCATAACTGCCTGTGATGTTCCCATCCTACCACCTTCCGATCTTAGCTGTTATTTTCGGCTCTCTGATTTCACATTAACAGGTTCCACACTAACACAGCCTCCTCACTCGCCGAGCTCGACGTTACTGCTCTGCAATCTGTCATTAACACGTCAATCTCTCACATTAACACGTCAATCTCTCACATTAACACGTCAATCTCTCACATTAACATGTCAATCTCTCACATTAACACGTCAATCTCACATTAACATGTCAATCTCTCTCACATTAACACGTCAATCTCTCACATTAACACGTCATTCTCTCACATTAACACGTCAATCTCTCACATTAACACGTCATTCTCTCACATTAACATGTCAATCTCTCACATTAACACGTCATTCTCTCACATTAACAGGTCAATCTCTCACATTAACACGTCAATCTCTCACATTAACACGTCAATCTCTCACATTAACATGTCAATCTCTCACATTAACATGTCAATCTCTCTCACATTAACACGTCAATCTCTCACATTAACACGTCAATCTCTCACATTAACACGTCAATCTCTCACATTAACACGTCAATCTCTCACATTAACACGTCAATCTCTCACATTAACACGTCAATCTTTCACATTAACACCTCAATCTCTCACATTAACAGGTCAATCTCTCACATTAACACGTCAATCTCTCACATTAACAGGTCAATCTCTCACATTAACACGTCAATCTCTCGAATTAACAGGTCAATCTCTCACATTAACACGTCATTCTCTCACATTAACAGGTCAATCTCTCACATTAACACGTCAATCTCTCACATTAACACGTCAATCTCTCACATTAACATGTCAATCTCTCACATTAACATGTCAATCTCTCTCACATTAACACGTCAATCTCTCACATTAACACGTCAATCTCTCACATTAACAGGTCAATCTCTCACATTAACACGTCAATCTCTCACATTAACACGTCAATCTCTCACATTAACACGTCAATCTTTCACATTAACACCTCAATCTCTCACATTAACAGGTCAATCTCTCACATTAACACGTCAATCTCTCACATTAACAGGTCAATCTCTCACATTAACACGTCAATCTCTCGAATTAACAGGTCAATCTCTCACATTAACACGTCAATCTCTCACATTAACAGGTCAATCTCTCACATTAACACGTCAATCTCTCACATTAACACGTCAATCTTTCACATTAACACGTCAATCTCCCACATTAACAGGTCAATCTCTCACATTAACACGTCAATCTCTCACATTAACATGTCAATCTCTCACATTGACATGTCAATCTCTCACATTAACATGTCAATCTCTCACATTAACATGTCAATCACTCACATTAACACGTCAATCTCTCTCACATTAACACGTCAATCTCTCACATTAACACGTAAATCTCTCACATTAACAGGTCAATCTCTCACATTAACACAGCCACCTCCACGCCCTTCGTCGTAGACGTCGCCATCCGATCTCACATTAACATGCTAATTTCTCACATTAACATCACTAGCCCCGCCCACTTTGTTTATGACCCTTGGGCTACACCCATTTTAATCCTTTAAAACAGTCTGCCTCAGCAGCTTTCCCTCTATTTTTTTCCTCCCGATGACGATCACTTGTGTTGTGATCAAAATGTCATAGTTTTGTTATTTTCTTTTAACCTATCTACGTGACTTTACCGAAAGACCCAAAGAATATGATAGACGCTTATTAAAGGCCATGAAAACAGGATAAATTTACTGATCTCTTTTTGAACAGAATTGAGTGAGAAAAAGGCCTCTATTGCCCTCTCGTGGTCATTCTGAGCACGGCATGTTACACAAAGGTATACACGGTATCGTGACAGAGAGCAGGTAAATTTTGATTCTAGAAATAAAAAAAAATAGTTCACAATGTGTTTCCGCCACGCACGTAGCATTGTTTAGAATGCGCAATTTTTATGCACAGTAAATAAAAATGGACGGCACTTTTGCCCAGTCAGCGTTTGATACGAATCCAACTGGCACACTAAGGCGTCATTATTTTCAGGTGGAATACAATTGTGAGAAATAGCAACAATACTAGGGACGCAAATTGTACACAACACCTTAATCCAGCCACCAGATTAAAATAAAGTCTCTTTTGTCCACAGAAATTAAGTAACGCAACTATTGTAACCAATTTTACTGTACTCTTTGGTTCTTTCGGTAAAGTCACGTAGGTAGAAATAAAATTAAAATAAAACAAATCACGGCGTTTCGACCGCAACACGAGCAATCTTCATCAGGTGGAACAACAACAGCAAGAAAATATCGTGATTTGTTTTATTTTTATTTTATTTTTCTACCCACGTGACTTCACCGAACGAACCAAAGAGCATGGATTCCTGCAGTCACGAAAGCTTCAAATAAATTTTACTGCAACCAAATACTCGTACACGTTTAGCTTTAAAGATAAAATAACTCTCTATATGCACCGTACTAGAGTTTGAAAGATGCCGCGAGTTTTGCCTTCGTGGAATGTCATCTAAATATCATACAACTAAGCGTCTTATCACCGGCGGTCAAATGGCATTCGCTGCCCATTGCAGAGGCTCGCGGTTCGAGCCCCGGCGGCCGCCCTGGTTAATGCTGTGGGTGAATTAACAGTAACAAAAAAATGCACGCCGTCTGTTTTACAGTGGATGCTCGGGATTCCCCGACATCGTTTGAAATGACTAGGCAATTGTGCGCCGGCGTTATTGTGTGTAGGCCAGTTGCTGGGTCACCTTGCGCCCACAGGGACAGCTGCGACTGGGGGTGCTCTTTCATTCCCATCACTGATGTTCAGAATGCCAGTTACAGTAAACTCTTGTTAATTGGACACATATGGGGCTCTGGCCTTGTCGAATTATCCATTATTCCGAATTATGTACAATGGTACTCCCCAGTGGCTCCTGCCCCAATGAAGTAACATTTCCTGAAAATTATTTTCCAAAAAAAGTAACACTTACCATCAGTAACCGGCAGTAACCAGCACTGCAGGCGAAACATTTGGATTTGTCTCGCAGACGAACGGATTTATACTTCTATCGCTTTCTATTACTTCTTGATGTAGGTGTAGACGACTTTTCTCAAAGGGGGGCTGGCTTGCACAGAGTGCATAAACAAGGTACAGTCCAAAGCAACAACAGGTCTGCACTGACGCCCACCACGCACGCCGCCACTGGACTGAGTCATTGTTTTGGTCGTGGCGCGCAGCGTCGCTCCACGTGAATGCCGAAATTGGATCATTCGGTACGGCAATTCGGCTCATGGCGAATTACTCGTACCGTGTATATGCCGAAATCGCAGCCATGCCGAATTATCGCCAAAATTAGAATTAGCAAATACCGAAAGAACGAGGTTTTACTGTACTCTTATTGGGATGCCACTGGAGCCGTGCACTTTAAAAAACTAGATTGAAAACTAATTTCTTGAAAGCTGCTTTGTGTGTTTAGTTTGTTCTCCTTCCCTCGCACATCCGATCGGGACGGTTGGCTACGTACGGTGCGCAAAAAAGTTCAGCATGCATACGCACATTCACACTCACTTCGGCTCCAATGTTAACTTTAAACAACACTCACGCATTGCGGAGGGTCCGTGTAGACGGTGGTGGCACACGTGCCTCCTGACTGGGCCTCAGCGTCACGGATGCAAAATTCCGGGATGGGGGTCAGCTTGGTCCCTTGTCCTTTATTCCAGATGTACAAGGCAATCTGGATACAGTTTAGATCGTTTTAGGGTAATTTTACACGATTAAAAAAAGATAAACAGCATTGTGGAGCTTCCAAGATGACGTTATTCTGAGACCACTATGCGATCATTTTACCAGGAGCTTAAAAAATAGCCTATAATAATAGTTTTTTTCCCCTTTTTTCTGGCAACAAAACTGAAACCTTTTTACAAAGATTCATGTCTGCATTAACCACAATACTTGCAGTCAAAATGCAAACAAAAAACATACTATGATAATATATGTGGCATTGTCCTTGAAACTGATTGGTCCACACCAAGGGACGGCTTTCTTGAGCCTCGACCCAATTGGTGCTCGACCAGATGACGCCTTTTGGTCGAGCACCAATTGGGTTGAATACGACGTTTCGCTGGTCATTGCATCCAGCATCTGGCAATTTATACTAACGCGATCTAACCCAAAAAACCTTTATTATGAATAATATTGGTCGCGAAAGCCTACGTGTTAAATGTAGATTATTTTTCCATCTCTTTCTTTGCACCATATATATGTATTTATTTAACTAAAATACAAATACAATTTCCTAATCTCTATCCTGGTTGTGTGTAGAACACGTTTGGCTGATGGGTAACATTTTCACGTTTATTTCTCCTCTTGATTTGCCAAATATTTTGTAATGGAATAAACGGCGAGCGAAAAACATGAATTGGAAATCCGGTGGGTGATGTAACTTGCTTCATGTTTGAGGTCAATGGTAAAATCCGCTCTGCGTGACTCCCGCGTCCACCTCTGCACGATGCTACACGCACAACAGGAGGGAGGGTGAGGGGAGCGGCTGGATTCAATGAAACCATCAAGCAATGTCCTTCAATAAACTACAATAGCTGAACTAAACAATGTGATTCTGCCCAAAGGAAGAGGGCGGATTGACCTTCATCTATTTGTGAAGGCGGTGGGGTCATCTTTCAGGGAGGGTGATTTCAAGGAATAATGGTCATGAACAGCCCAGAGGGCGGCATGGTCTCCACTAGGCCTGTGCACAAGGAAGCCTTGGTTGGATTCCCATGCGTAACCAAATGGTAGCTTTGCAGGCCATTACCATAGCATTTGCCACAAAGTAGACATCAAAGACATTGTTACATCATTCAAAAACAAATGTCATAGTCTGCCACTGTCGTAGCCTAAATACTCAATTTTAAATCATATAAACCGATATAAAAACTGAGATAACTATTACCCCCAGCAGAGGTGCAACGGTGCATTCCCAATTATTATGAGCATGAATCAAATTTACGGACATTTATAAATGTGCGGCAAACCGGTAAACATTTTTTTCTCACCAATTATTCTCTTTCGGTTACTGGTCATAAAAAAAGACCTTCGCAAGCCGAGTTGTTAAACTCTGGAATGCACCGAAACAGGCTCCACAGACTCCTCTTTAACCGTCAAGTGCTGCATCTGGATTCAGGTTAGTTTACGTGCTCTCATCTACACTGGACCTGCCCTGCTTACGCGCAAGATGCTACTGCCAAGGGTACCACCTTGCGAGGAGAGGCTGGCTGAGAGCCCATCCGGACGAGAAGAGTGGGTAGTGGAATGACGTGGGGTCCTCGTGAAACGCGAAATTGTGAATGATGGTGGCGCTCTCGTCATGCAAGGCACGGCCCAGGAACCACGGCTGGGAAAGCAAACAAAACACAAAGCACCACTACAAACAACACCGCGTGCATCTCTCCCTGCAACATATTTGAATTGTCAGTCTTGTCAGTGTTATCCCAGTCACGTGTCCCTATGATTGCCTATGAGATGCACGTGGCAATACATTCACCGTACACATGTCAGAGCTACACCTGTAACGTAACATCATTCCGGCACAATTCGCCTGATGATGCTAGTTGTAATTAGCAGTGATACGTCGCACTCAAATTGTAAATGTTGCGAGTTTACTCTCCAACACACTGGTGTGCTGAAGTAGTAACTAAGTGGCACGTTTTGTTGACACAACAAACCTTACTAATTGGCTGTGTTGGGTGGTGGCGGGTTTAGCGACAAATTTATACTTATATTTACGTGATCTAACCCAAAAAACCTTTATTGTGGATAATATTGGTCACAAAAGCCTACATGTTAAACCTTTGTCCGGACAGCTATTGAAAACCAAACCGTACTGCATTCATAACGTAAATTGGATATAACACAATGAATGTATTAGGGAACACATTTTTTTTTATAAAGCGGATGATGAATTGGATTTGTAACGTGATTGAGTGAACGGAAATACGTCGTGCGAGTAGGAACGTGCAGTGATACGGCAGCCTCGGCGTAGCATCACACAAGGCGGGATGCTGTTGGATGCCTCAGTCTTTGTTCGGCCTGCGTTATGCATCTCACACGTTATCGCGGACTGTGCTTTACCCTACATTATATTTTATAACACGATTACCGTGTTATAGGAGAACAGACTGTACCTTGCTGTGGTCATAGCGACCCAACAACCGTCTTAGCCTCTCCAAGTCCACCCTCGTCTCTTCTTCACAGAAGAACCACCAGGTCGCTGAGCCTCCGTGTGTGGACAGGAGCCTGGAAAGACACATTTGTTGCTTTAGGTGAAGCTATTGGTTCACGTCAGCCTGTGCACATGGAGTCGACATTGTGATTCCTGCTATGTCGGGGGAATTAACCAAGTAGTCATAGCAATGGGGATATGGTAACATAAGTGTGTACAGGTGGCAATCATGGATAGCACTCTTCTAAATTACCACTATTAATTGAAAATGTATCTGTACGTATGTATGTTCAACTTCTTTCGCACCATACGTAGCCAACCGCGCTATTCGGAGGTGCAGGGGAAGGACAACAAACTGAGCACAAAAAGCAGTTCTAAAGATATTAGTTTTCAATCTAGATTTAAATTGCATGGTTCCAGTGGCTTCCGACTATCGGAAGGAAGAGTGTTCCAGACAGCCGCAGAATATGTATCGGTTCATCCATATCAACCGTTAAGTTTATGATGCATGAATCACGTGTTAGAATGTATGTTTTAATCTGTATATAATGGTGTCATGCCATCCATATGGTCACACGTGGTCGCTAAATTCAACTAAATGTTAATTTTAAAAAAAATCAACTTTTGATATTTTTCATCGAATCGCAAACCCAATTCATGACTAATCACAAACCCAATTCATGACGAATCACAAACCCAATTCATGATGATTCGATAAATCGTTGAATCACTGGAAGGTGAATAACTTCCCCCTGCAAGTGAATATAGCTGTTCAGGGTTGCCTGGCCAGAGACACAACACTGTAACGTGTGATCTTCACGCAACGCGATAACGCGGTTCTTCCATTAGGGAACACTTTACACACATTGCGCAACGCGCACCGTTATATAACGTAGAATGCGTGACATTATAACGCAGGCTCACCGTTATATTGCAGTTTCTGAGCAGTCATCCACATACTACTTTCCTGAGCTGCGCGGCTTAGCGGTATGACACAGTACGCGGAATGCTACAGCAACACGGACGGCGTCGTCCCGCCATCTTAGCACGTGTGAATACATCGTGTCTCGCCAAATGTTATCGTTATGGGGGGAAATTGTTATTGCTCCATGCGACACTCTTCAGGAATGAATCCCCCGCGTGAAACGAGGGCTTACTGCAGCGTAAAGGCGCCCTCTGTTGGTTATACGCTGGAATGCAACAGTGACAAAGTAACCTACGTTGTGGTATTATAAAACTACAAATACTACGCTCCACAGTATTTATTCCTGTGATATAATACTATTGTTTAGAACAATACCTATATAACACTCAGATAAGTGGTTTGTGCACCAACACAACAGGTTAAAAGTTCAATTCCCAATTGAGGGTGGAGAAATTATGTGCAGTAACACTGCAGCAAGTAAAGAGTGGAAGTCTTATGAAGAGAATTGCTCTGACTTTAGGCTCTTGCATGGACTTTAACTCTCACTCTGTCCAAAAACGTAGATCGAAGGGAATAAATATTGCATTCAATGCACACAATATGCAATGAATACCATAAATCGCGGTGGCTGGGTGGCTCAAGAGGCTAATACCATAGCAGGACACTGTCCTGGCACTTTTATATATCTTGGTTATGAATCCAGGAAAGTCAACCATGAGTAAATGGTTTCTCAAATGTAACGGTCTCAGCCCAGTCACTGAAGACCGCACAAAATTATCCAAATAAATTTGGTTTTGCACCAAAATCATCTTTACTCTCGCACTTTTAAATGTAGATTATTGTGATACGAGAAACCATGTTTGCAGGAACTGTAAAAGACCTACTACTGGTGTGGACAAGAGGCCTATGAATGGACTTCAAAGAAAGTTCTGTGATTTTTACTTCTAGAGCCGTTCCCTGACACGATGCAATGTGTTAGTACTCACTGTTCTAGGCGTTATCACTGAACAATTAAATATTGTGAGACAGAAGAATAAAACACAATAGGTGTGAACCTACGGTAATTACTGAGGCTTTTTAATTTATGCAATTATCATTATATTAAGTAAAAAAAGGATAAAGGCATTGCCCTGCAATTGCTTGATGCCACTACTGACAAAATGACCTCCACTAGAACTGTTTTTTGTGTTTAGTTTGATATGTTTTTCCCGCACCTCCGATAAGCACGGTTGGCTATGTATGGTGCGAAAGAATTTAAACATACATATGTACACTAAAGTGAATGCGAGCAGGTATTTGGTTTACTATATTTATACAATAGTTCATTATTAATTCCAAAAAGCCTCACAGTAGGAAACGGCTGCTCTATTACTTCACCAGTTTTTTTTCTCGTGTGTGGGAAAAGCTGGCGTGCCTGGACATAAACGTGGGGCAAGCCGGCGTGCCTGGACATAAACGTGGGGCAAGCAGATGGGGGTGGGGGACAGCAGCCACACTCTGCATGCGAGATCTGAAAACCACATCCTGTACTGCCTCCTGCACCCGTATCCATGAAGCACAGAACTCAAGTACGTACTTGAATTTCTCTGCCACCAGCACTGCCTTTTCATGTTTTCAGACAACGTGAGCTGGCTGTCAATTTGTTCGATATTCCCTCGGATCATTTTGTTGCATCACGGGCTGGGCTGAATTCTCTGTCACAAATTGGGCGGAGACGGAATTGCATAACAAAAAAATGCAATCGTGTCACAGGGTGGCGGACACATTCAACTTTACATCCAAGGTGTCCGACTCACGTGATAACTCGGCAAAATCTATTTTTTTAACAACTTGAACCATCACATCAGCTCAAGTATTGGGAGAAATCAGGCCAAGCCGAGTGCACTCCAGTCGACTCGAGTTGGCCGTCAATGAAAGCACACTGTACTTTTACACACCTCATTTGATTCGCCGTAGGTAGCCGTCTCAGGCAAGGAGCATAAACCATCATCCGAACTCCGGTCATCCTCGCAGCGGCTGCTGGCTGGCCATCGAACAAAGACGGTCGCTGCATCGCGCGCTTTCAGATCCGCTTCTGCGGCCGTCTTGAACGTTCTTCCTTCCGATATTAGGAAGCCACTGGAGCTATGCACTTTGAAATCTCGATTGAAAACTAATTTCTTTAGAACTACTTTTTGTATTTATTTTTTTGTCCTTCCCCTGCACCTCCGATTAGCACGGTTGGCTAAGTATGGTGCGAAAGAAGTTCAACATACACACATACAATAGCTCCGTGTCGACTATTCAAAGGTTCGCTACGCTAAAAAAAAAGGTTTGCTGCGTAAGTTGAGAAACTCATACGTTGTCACAAGGTACCTGGGAAGTGCTGGGAGAATGGCCCAAGCTCCTGCCACCTCATCCACTTTGTGCAGCAGAACAATGGTTGGGGGACCCTGTCAACACATCACACATTGGGAATACAGATAACACAAATAGCAAATATTCTTAGCTCTTTCGGTAAAGTCACGTTGAAGGGAAACAATAAAATATATAAAACACCTGATGACGACCGTTTGTGTTACGGTCGAAACGTCGTGAGAATTTTTATTGTTTTATATATTTTGTATTATTTTATTGTTTCCCTTCAACGTGACTTTACCGAAAGAACTAAGAATATGAATCACTGCAGTCACGAAAGATTTAAATACAAATAGCAAATGTTTCCCTGCTCCATGACGCATTGGAGAATCTGAAAATGGCAGCCCTGAACCAGCGATAAAAAAATCTAATTTCCTATGGTGGGGCACAGTTTCTCTGTAAGAAAACCATGAACAACCTCAACATTCCCATAGCTTCCAAGGGCTTCAGAATCATTAAGAACTTTTAAAATGAATTGAAAAACTTCCTTTTTTAAACTTGCTTTCAATTAGGATTTTCTTCACGTGTTGTTTCATTATGTCTTTGCTAGAAATTTGTAACAACGTGATTTTATTTTGCCTACAATTTCACTTTTATTGTTCATGCCTGTAGACCACTGTTTTGCATTTTTTGCACAAATAGTGCGACAGAAATAAAGTTTGATTGATTGAAGGACAGAATAATTGGCATTTAATTGACCTATGAGAGGTGGTGGGCTGAGTTCATACTGAACCTCCTGTATCTCAAGATATTTTAGGCTGCTACTGCTCGGTATATTTAAGCAATTTCCGGCTGAGTATTTTGACGTATCTATATTAGTGCAATTGTACCATATGGCTGGGATATGTAGGAAAGTCCGTGGGTAGCCTTGACGTATTTCTTTCCATTATTGTCATCATCAGTACAATGACCACCAGCTGATAAAGCTGTACCCCTTGGTGAGAAATAAACATTGGTCGTTGAAAGGCAGAACAGGTTCCCAACATGGCGAAGTGGAATTTCAAAAAATCCGTTCTGGATGATCAAAACACGGCCCCAGCACATACTTTGAGCACAGTGGAAACTGTGAATGGAATATATGAATCCCTGCAGTCACGAAAGCTTTAAATAAAAAAAAATGAATGGAATACTTCGTAGCTTCATTACACCTACTGCACTGACTGCTAGTGAGTATGCCCCGTCATTAACCTCAGCGTGGAGACGATTGAATTTCAAACCTGTTGAAGTTTTTGCGCTTGCTGTAAGAAGCCTTCTTTGAGTTTTCCAGCGGCCAGCGCATTGTAATGGCTACTTTGACTGTGGACAACTATCACAATGTTCCGCAAGTCTGCGTACGCACACACACACACATGCAAAAATACATAAAACTCAGCAGTCAATGTGGAATCTAAAGACCTGCTTGAGAAATGGCAGATACAGTGGCGGTGCAGTGGTTGCACGATAAACCTAATAACCTGCATTTGATTCCCGGCCACAGTCAACATCGGTATGGTTAAACAATCTCCATTATCGGCATGGCATGTTGATTGACTAAGGGCTGTAAACTTGTATAATACCGCACCCCCGATTAGCACAGTGAGCTACGTACGGTGTGAAAAATAAAAACTTAAATTCACGCTAAATGGTGCAATGAGAATTCTAGAATTCTAGAATTTGATTGATGTGCACAAATTATGAAAGCCCCGAATATGCATATTAATTAACACCAGAGGTCCTGACAGATTGCATAACACTGGAGAGTTATAACATTGTCTGGGCGTGGTGTCACATGCCTGTCATGGAGCAACTTAGAAAAGGGGTTGATGGCTCACACAGGGAACGTGTGGGTGATTCACCCACCTGCAGAGTGGTGAGGTAGTGCCTGTAGGAGGCAGTACAGTAAGTAGGATGTCAACCTATCTGTGTGGACTTGGGCATATTCGACTTTAGCCTGCCTAGCACCACTGTTTCATACCACAGCACTCTCCAATAAGAAATGTAACCAATCCGACAAGTCAAAACATTTTTTTTTAATAAAGATACTCAGTGTGACTTTCCAGGTTGAATAATAATTGTATAGGTATTAAAATGCATTTGCTTTTCTGGGTGTCATAACACACGTTCGCTCATTCGTTTCTCAGTCCGCTTGTCCTGATGAGGGTCGCGGCGGCAGCATGTTGAGTACTGCGGTCCAGACCTCGAGCTCTTCCTGGGGAATTCCCAGGCGTTCCAAGGCCAGCCGAGCGACATAGCCCCGCCAGCGTGTCCTGGGCCGGACCCGGGGTCATTGCCCAGTGGGACGTGCCCGGTAGAGTTCCAGGGGGAGTCTCCCGGGGGGGCATCCTTACCAGGTGCCCGAACGACCTCTCGATCCGGAGGAGCAGCGGCTCGACTCCGAGGCTCTCCCGGATTACTGAGCTCTCAACCCGATCACAGAGACTGAGTCTGGCAACCCTTCAGAATAACCCAATTTCGGCCCCTTGTACCCACGATCTCATTCTTTTGGTCATTACCAAAAGCTCATGATCATAGGCGAGGATGGGAATGTAGATAGATCTGTAAACCGAGAGCTTTGTTCGAGAACTCAGCTCCCACTTCACTACCATGGAACTGTGCAGTGCCTGCAACACTGCGGACGCCACACCGATCCGCCGGCCAATCTCCCGCTCTCACTTACGCAAAGTAGACCCCGAGGTACTTAAACTTCACCACTAAGGGCAGCTGTTCCCCTCTCACCTGGAGGGAACAATCCGGGAGTGAACCATGACCTCAGATTTGGAGGTGCTTCACACTCGGCATCAAACCGTCCAAGTGCATGCTGGATATCACAGACTGACGAGGCAAAGAGGACAATGTTGTCTGCAAAAAGCAGCGACCCCACCTCCATGCCCCCGTACTGGACACTCTCCATACCTCGGCTGCGCCTTGATATCCTGTCCATGAAAATCACAAACGGGAGTGGAGACAAGACGCACCCTTGGCGGAGTCCAACACCCACAGTGAACGACTTTGATTTAACACCAAGAATACGGACACAGCTCTAACTCCGGGAATAGAGGGACCGGATAGCACACAAAAGCGGCATCGGTACATCATACTCCCACAGCACCTTCCTCTCTCCAAGTCTAAAAAGGAGAGTTAGACTGGAGAAGCCTACTCCCATGACCCCTCAAATATCTGAGAGAGAAAAGGACTGGTCCATTCTTCCACGACCATGACAGATTCCACATTGTTCCTCCTGAATCTGAGGCTCGACCACCGGGCGGAGCCTCCTCTCAAAGCACTCTGGCATAAGCTTTACCTGGGGTGCTGAGGAGTGTGATTCCTCTGTAGTTGGAGCACACCTCTGGTTCCCTTTTCTTTAAATGGGAACCACGACCCCAGTTTGCCAATCCAGAGGTACTGTACCCGCTTTCAATGCAACATTGAAGAGGCGTGTTAACCACGACACTCCTACACTGCCCAGCGCTTTCAACAAGTCTGCACGAATCTCGTCTACCTTAGCAGTGTTGCTGCTACCAAGGTCCTCGACCGCCACAGAAACTTCAGCAGCCGTGATGAATCCGACCCCCCCCACCCCCCCCCCCCAGCTGTTTCCAGGGCTGCCTCCTGAGAGGATGGCATGTCCACCAGGTTGAGGAGCTCCCCAAAGCGTTCCTTCCACCTCTCGACTATCTCCCTAGTTGAGGTCAATGTTTCGCCGCCCTTACTGAAAACAGCCTGAGCTACGTCCCGTCAACCCCTCCTAAGGCGTCAGATGGTTTTCCAGAACATCTTTGAGGCTGCCAGGTAGTCCCTTTCCATGGCCTCTCCAAACTCCTCCCACACCCGGCCTTTTGCTTCAGCAACTGCTGCAGCTACCGCCCTCTTGGCAAGCCGGTACCTCTCAATCGAGTCAGGAAACATTTTTCCGAACATTGCTCAGAAAGCCTCCATCTTCAACTTGACAGCTTCCCTCACCACTTGTGTCCACTAGAGTCGGTAGGTGGCACTCTGTAGAGCATTCCACCCACCGTCTCCAAGAAGATCGAATACTCTGAAATGTTTTGTGCGTAAGTACAGACAACAGTCAGAGTATTCCTTTCTGAGACCCGAAGTCTCATTGAGGCGACCATCTCATCCACTCGGACACAATTCAACTGAATAGTACCCAGCTGGGGGCTTGTGAGTATCCCCACACCCACAAGGGACCTCTCACCAGGGGTAACTCCGAAATAGGAGACTACCCCGATTGAGAAGTTTGGATCCAGTGCCAATGCTGTGTGTGGAGGTGAGACCGGCTATATCTAATCGGTACCTTTCCACCTCCTCAACCAGCTTTGGCTCCTTCCCCCCCCCCGTGACTTGACATTCCATGTCCAAAAAGCTAGTGTCCATTACCAAGGTCCAGTCCGTCTGAGACCATCACTCTCCCTGCCATACTGGCATCACACCCACCCCTCACCCTTCATCCTGCAGATGGTGGGCCCACAGGACAGCGCCACATAGCCATTTCAGGCTGGGTCCGACCGCGTTACGTGGGGTCACCTGGCCACCAGGCGCTTGCCAGTAAACACCACCCCAGGCCTGGCTCCAGGGGTGTGTTCCTGTATCCCTTGTCCGGGCGAGGTTCTCTGATTTTTTTTTATTGTTTAACCATTCATGATGAACTTTTTTTGGACCGTTATTTGTCTGGAACCTCCCCCCAGACCTGTTCGCCAAGGGAGACCCTACCAGGAGTACAAGACTCGAGGCGACGCAGCTCGGAGGGTCATTGGAACACACAAACCCAACCACCACAATAAGGTTATGACCTTTCGGTGGCACACTCTCACCTGTGGCTTGGCCAGTGTATACTTTACTTGATGGAGCATCATTCTGGAAGAACACATTCAATCTGTATTAAAATTACCATCGACCAAATCACCAAGAGAATACTCCTTATCATGTCAGATCACAGACGCTAAGCAGGTTTGAGCCTGGATGGGTTCTGTGATGGGCGACCACCTTGCATAAAAGAGGTTGTTTTAGGGCAGTAGAGGCCAATGCAGCCTAAGAAAGTTTTGTTCTATACCCCCATTACCTACCCCCCCCTGACCAGCAAGGTGAAGTATGGTCAAAGAACCCACATTGACTCGAAGGGCATGGCAAGACACTTATGGACATAGTCCACCAACCCTGCTGTTCATTCTGAAACGCAAGTGTTTTACTTTTAACGCAATTCTCATCAATGAGACAGTGCAGGAGGTGGTACAGCTGGGATGAAATGCCAACTAAACTATAAACTATTTTTATTTTACCAGGTAAGGCCCACTGAACAATATCACTATTTTTCAGAAGCGACCTGGCCACAAATGATAGCTCAATTAAGTGGCTTATCACGTGGAAATGTATAGCAGCCAAATACTCTAAACACATGTTGATTCTAAATGTGGAGGGAAAAACCAGAGGACCTGGAGAACAATCCATGCAACCACGGGAAGAACATGCAAACTCCAAATATACAAGCATCAGAGTCGGGATCGAACTCACGACCTCCTGCATACTAGGTGAGATAGTTAACATCCCACCATAAAAGGAAATAAATTACCACCACACACACCAAAAAGTTAGAAGATTGAAAGCAGACATTTATGAGTAGTTTTTGCAAGAGTGGATGAGAATAAGCATGAGATTCAGTGGAGGAGATCCTGGAAAATCAGTATGTTATTTATATTTATCAGGGAAAATATATTGCATTTTGTTTATTAAAGGGCCATATTTAAAAAGCTTGAAACTTTGAGGCCCCCCTTTGGAAGTTTTTAGATCAGCCTTTGGTGAGATCAAAGAGAAAATATGATTGGTTGAAGGATTTTGAATATACAGATGTTGTGGTTGATGTTCTGTGAAATGCAAGGCATGTCCATATGGTTCTTCCCAAAACTATTACAAACATTAAATTTTGATTTAAAGCTTTCGTGACTGCAGTAATTCATATTCTTAGTTCTTTCGGTAAAGTCACGTTGAAGGGAAACAACAAAATAATAAAATATATATAAAACAATACAAATTCTCACGACGTTTCGACCACAACACAAACGGTCGTCTTCAGGTGTGTTGTTGTGGTCGAAACGTCGTGAGAATTTTTATTGTTTTATATATATTTTATTATTTTGTTGTTTCCCTTCAACGTGACTTTACCGAAAGAACTAAGAATATGTATTACAAACATGTGAATGTAAGTGGTCCATGTTGCAACAAGGTTGGCTCCCACGTGCAGGCACTATCGAATACTCAACACGTAAAAACATAAGACACGTTCAGAATGCATTCAACACCTAGTAAAACATTAGTATCACCTCTTCATCAAAATGCCAATACACTTACTTGAGTTGCTTCACTGCTTACACAGAGCCCTGAAAGAACAAGAAGAAACAAATAGAATATAAATTTGTGATTATAATTATTATACTTTTTCAAAATGTTTTGGGGGTTTTTCAGAATACCTAGATCAACTGTGAACAGTAAGGATATTAATTACTAAGATATTCTACAGATTTTAATCCATGGAAAGTGTTCTATGAAGTGGGAGAAAAAAAACACCCTTGGCTGACTTTTTCTCTATAGTAACGGAGTTTTGGCATTTTACCGATCACTAAATCATTAGCAATAAAACAAATGTCAAGCAGCTGAATGCCACCCTGTGTGCAGTCACAAAACGAGCTTTCATATTTGCCACACTGCCACAGCTTTCCTCAGCTGCAACGTCCTGCATTACTTAGAAATGGACGGAATAAACATATTTGCATTTGTACGTGAACACCAGTCTTCACTGTGAGATGTTTAATTTCAGCTCTGTATAACAATAATAATAATACAATTTATGACGCGCACAATGTTGCCAGCCGAAAATGCAATTCCGAGGCACGAAGCCGGGCTCAGCAAAGGTGGAGGACTGCAACCCAGACACCTCGTGTCTAGTTCAACGCGTAGGCTTTCGCGACGAATACCATCCATAATGTTTTTTTGGGTTAGATCACGTAAATATACATGCACCGTTAAACCCACCACCACCCGACACAGCCAAATAGCAAGGTTTGTGACATAAACAGAACATGCCAATTCGTTACTGGTACAGCACACCGGTGTACTTACTTAGAAATGGACAGTGTGCTGTACTAGTGTAGTGTTTTCTGTGTGTGCGGGTGGCGTGCGTCGCACACAAAGTCAGCCGGAGACGAGGTGGTCGCAGCGGGCACCGCTCTGCCCTCTTTATTGTTGTTGCCGAGCTCACGCCACCACTCGGGGCCCCCCCCTCCCTTCTCTCTCTGACACACGACCCCGCTGCCGCACGACCCGTCCCAGACACGACCCTGTCCGCGTTAAGACCGACGGCGTTGACCGGGACAGCCGACCACTGTCCGGCTGTGCAATGATCAGGAGAAGGCGGCGGCGATGAGGGCGGCGATGACGACAGCGGCGACGAGACGAGTCCACTCCCAGAACCGGCAGCCCGGAGCTCTCGCTCTCCGCTGCTTCTATACCCCTCTAGAGGGTTCCAGGGGCTTCCACACGAGGTCTATCATGACCCTTGCCCCAGTTCCTCCGCCCTGCCGGCACACCCGCGTATATGCCCACCTGCAGTTGCTGCTGCTGTCCAACAGTCGGCGCTATGTCACTACATCAGTAACGAATTGGCATGTTCTGTTTACGTGACAAACCTTACCAATTGGCTGTGTCAGGTGGTGGCGGGTTTAATGACACATTAATACCTCGTGACTAGCTATAACAATGCGGGTGAAAATACAAGCATACCAGTGCAGCATCCCTTACACCAGCATTCCACTGAGCAAATATTTAAATAGAGTACAACAGAAACAACAGAATATTACAAAGCACTGGGACTGTACAGTAACTATAGGACCATGCAAGTGTGCAAGTGTGCACGTGTCTACAAAAAAGCCCCTATCAGATCGTGGCCACGAGCAAATACTACTAAAACTAACTCTGAGCATGACATTACAATATGATACATCAGATAATGGCCATCGGTATGTACAGAGTGGTCCAGATGTCTTGTAACTCCCCACCCCCCAATTAATTGACCACCTAACATGATTTTCCTTTGCTCATTTGTATGTTTTCACAGCAATTGCTATGCAAAAATATACATTTTTGAGGATTAAATGGGATTCACAGGACATCTGGACGACCCTGTACTACTGAATTTCTGACCAAGAATTACAGTATGATACAATATAGATATAACAAGCATCTCAATGTGGCCAATATATGTTGTGTACATAGAAGGACGTGCATCATCAGATAATCTGAACAGAGGAATTATATTTTTTTGAATGTTTTTGTTTGTTTCAGAGAAGGGAGGTTACAGTAAGTAGACTGCTAAGAGTTGAGAGTGGAAGTAGCTGGTTGGTAAAGGTTTTGGATGACATTTCAGAGGCCGAGGAAAATAAGAAGGCATTGGTCATGGACGTGAACTTAGATGATAAAAAAAGACCAATAAAGAGCCACTACATGGGATTCCATTTCATGCATGTTACAATTTGGTTAGCCACTACAGTATTTGGTAATGAAAAATGTGAATGTTTTTAAAAGTAAAATAAGAAACAATTTAGGCACGTTAGCATGTTATTAAAATGTACATACATTATTGTATTTAATGTATAACATTGTATACATTTTATGAAAGAAATTATTAATGGAATGAAATCCTGTCATACTTTATACAGCATTCTATAATTTAACTCACTTAAAATCTTTAGTAGTGTCTTCAAAAATTACTCATACCGACACGTTGCAACAAGTTACCCTACACTTTATTCACCTATTCTTGCACCAGATGTAGGCACTTCTTTAACTATCTATACGGTCACTTATAATTAATCTCTCCCCACTCTTATCTACCTTTCACCTCCCTTATCCTGCACTCAGCAGCTCTGCTCTCAGCGACTCCGCACACAGCGACTCCGCACACAGCGTCCTCGCACACAGCGTCCTCGCACACAGCGTCCTCGCACACAGCGACCTCGCACACAGCGACCCCGCACACAGCGACTCCGCACACAGCGACTCCGCACACAGCATCCCCGCACACAGCGTCCTCGCACACAGCATCCCCGCACACAGCGACTCCACACACAGCGACTCCGCACACAGCGTCCTCGCACACAGCGTCCTCGCACACAGCGTCCTCGCACACAGCGACTCCACACACAGCGTCCCCGCACACAGCGTCCTCGCACACAGCGACTCCGCACACAGCGTCCTCGCACACAGCTTCCTCACACACAGCTTCCCCACACACAGCGTCCCCGCACACAGTGACTCCGCACACAGCATCCTCGCACACAGCGTCCTCGCACACAGCTTCCCCACACACAGCGACTCCGCACACAGCGTCCCCGCACACAGCATCCTCGCACACAGCGACTCCGCACACAGCATCCTCGCACACAGCGTCCTCGCACACAACGTCCCCGCACACAGCGTCCCCGCACACAGCGTCCCCGCACACAGCGGCAGCGGCGAGATGTCTTCACTCTTGGTTCCCGGCAACAACTCCCCTCCGCTCACACACACTCCCGCTTATATCACTTTGCTAATTATCCGAGACCTCTCACGTGTCTCTTTAGGCTCTTGTCAGGCTGGTGCCTTTTGGCCCATCGATCAACCTCGTTGACAGCAACCTCCGGTAGCAGCACATGCACAACCGGTCAACCCCGTTTGCACCTGCTTCGTCCCTTACAACCAGCGTTTCGTCCGTGCACACCTCACGCGCACCTCTTTGCCCTCCGTTGCCCTCGGTTGACTGTGCGCACCGCGTATTTCACTACTCTACACATGTACTGCTGCTGCTCGTAAATGTTGCTTCGATTTTTGTTTTGCCGAATATTTTTAATATTCTGGCCCTGAAAAGGCAGGCTTTTGTCTTAGCTTCTAGCAATACAAATTGCATCGCATTGCTCTATTAAGACAGGTCTCCCTTTGAAGAGACGTTCTGTACTCAAAGGGACTCTCGTCTGATTTAAAGGGTATCCATCAGAGCGTTTTGCACCGTTTTAAATGGTATATTCGCATTATTTACACACGATTATTGGACGTGTGCATTGTTTTGTTATACTTAGTCAATCCCAGATATGACTTCATGTAGACACTCAATTGGCTCTTACGTGGATATGAAGCTTATCTGGTTTCACTGTTGATAAGGAACGTATATTTTTACCAACCACATTATTCACCTTATTTTACACTTTCTAATCTTCCAATCACAACCAATCAATCAGCAATGAACTGGGTATTATTAAAGATATCAACATTGACCTTCAACATTCAGGTTTACTGAACATCTACGTCAATTGGCATATTGCCCAAGTGACGACTGGACTGGATTGTCTCTGTTGGGTGGTGGAGCGTTATAGTTAAAACATGACCTAACCCAAATCAACTAATTATTCATTTTACTGGTCGTAAAGGCCGATGTATATAATTGGTTTCACTATTGTTAACGTGGGCGGGTGTTATTATAGTGATCATTAAAACCACTGCTATTTTGTTTTTATTGCCTCTACATTACCGCAGTTAAGTTTGACGATTCACGTAGAACATGGAGACACATTCAAGCTTGCATAGAATAGAAAGGATCACAGAATCACCACATTCAACTTATACACATGGTATACACGTTGTAATCAAACAGCACGTACAGTATAATGCCTATAGGACACACGTGTGGAACTCACACAGTACACAAATGTACTAACTCAAGGTACTCCCCGTGTACTACAAAAGTACACGCAGTGCACACGTGTGCTGTACTCACACAAGTCGGCACACACCACGCACGTGTACTCAATGCATCACGAGTACTCACACAAGTCGGTACACACCACACACGTGTACTCAATGCATGACGAGTACTCACACAAGTCGGTACACACACACGTGTACTCAATGCATCACGAGTACTCACACAAGTCGGTACACACCACGCACGTGTACTCAATGCATCACAAGTACTCACACAAGTCGGCACACACCACACACATGTACTCAATGCATCACAAGTACTCACACAAGTCGGTACACACCACACACGTGTACTCAATGCATCACAAGTACTCACACAAGTCGGTACACACCACACACGTGTACTCAATGCATGACGAGTACTCACACACGCACGGTACGCACCACGCACGTGTACTCAATGCATCACGAGTACTCACACAAGTCGGTACACACACCACACGTGTACTCAATGCATCACGAGTACTCACACAAGTCGGTACACACCACGCACGTGTACTCAATGCATCACAAGTACTCAAACAAGTAGGTACACACCACGCACGTGTACTCAATGCATCACGAGTACTCACAGACGCACGGTCCACACCACACACATGTACTCAATGCATCACAAGTACTCACACAAGTCGATACACACCACACACATGTACTCAATGCACCGCGAGTACTCACACAAGTCGGTACACACACACGTGTACTCAATGCATCACAAGTACTCACACAAATCGGTACATACCACACACATGTACTCAATGCATCACAAGTACTCACACAAGTCGGTACACACCACACACGTGTACTCAATGCATCACAAGTACTCACACAAGTCGGTACACACCACGCACGTGTACTCAATGCATTACAAGTACTCACACAAGTCGGTACACACCACACACGTGTACTCAATGCATCACAAGTACTCACACAAGTCGGTACACACCACACACGTGTACTCAATGCATCACGAGTACTCACACAAGTCGGTACACACCACGCACGTGTACTCAATGCATCACAAGTACTCAAACAAGTAGGTACACACCACGCACGTGTACTCAATGCATCACGAGTACTCACAGACGCACGGTCCACACCACACACATGTACTCAATGCATCACAAGTACTCACACAAGTCGGTACACACCACACACGTGTACTCAATGCATCACAAGTACTCACACAAGTCGGTACACACACCACACGTGTACTCAATGCACCGCGAGTACTCACACAAGTCGGTACACACACGTGTACTCTCGCAGCTACAGTGAGGGAAACAAGTATTTGATCCCCTGCTGATTTTGCACGTTTGACCACTGACAAAGAAATGATCAGTCTATAATTTTAATGGTATGTTTATTTGAACAGTGAGAGACAGAAAAACAACAACAAAATCCAGAAAAACGCATGTCAAAAATGTTATAAATTGGTTTGCATTTTAATGAGGGACATAAGTATTTGACCCCCTCTCAATCAGAAAGATTTCTGGCTCCCGTGTAGTTCTGGGTAACGAGTTGAGATTAGGAGCACACTCTTAAAGGGAGTGCTCCTAATCTCAGCTCGTTACCTGTATAAAAGACACCTGTCCACAGAAGCAATCAATCAATCAATCAGATTCCAAACTCTCCACCATGGCCAAGACCAAAGAGCTCTCCAAGGATGTCAGGGACAAGATTGTAGACCTACACAAGGCTGGAATGGGCTTCAAGACCATTGCCAAGCAGCTTGGTGAGAAGGTGACAACAGTTGGTGCGATTATTCGCAAATGGAAGAAACACAAAAGAACTGTCAATCTCCCTCGGCCTGGGGCTCCATGCAAGATCTCACCTCGTGGAGTTGCAATGATCATGAGAACGGTGAGGAATCAGCCCAGAACTACACGGGAGGATCTTGTCAATGATCTCAAGGCAGCTGGGACTATAGTCACCAAGAAAACAATTGTTAACACACTACGTCCTGAAGGACTGAAATCCTGCAGCGCCCGCAAGGTCCCCCTGCTCAAGAGAGCACATATACATGCCCGTCTGAAGTTTGCCAATTAACATCTGAATGATTCAGAGGACAACTGGGTGAAAGTGTTGTGGTCAGATGAGACCAAAATGGAGCTCTTTGGCATCAACTCAACTCACCGTGTTTGGAGGAGGAGGAATGCTGCCTATGACCCCAAGAACACCATCCCCACCGTCAAACATGGAGGTGGAAACATTATGCTTTGGGGGTGTTTTTCTGCTAAGGGGACAGGACAACTTCACCGCATCAAACGAACGATGGACGGGGCCATGTACCGTCAAATCTTAGGCGAGAACCTCCTTCCCTCAGCCAGGGCATTGAAAATGGGTCGTGGATGGGTATTCCAGCATGACAATAAACCAACACACAGCCAAGGCAACAAAGGAGTGGCTCAAGAAGAAGCACATTAAGGTCCTGGAGTGGCCTAGCCAGTCTCCAGACCTTAATCCCATAGAAAATCTGTGGAGGGAGCTGAAGGTTCGAGTTGCCAAACGTTAGCCTCGAAACCTTAATGACTTGGAGAAGATCTGCAAAGAGGAGTGGGACAAAATCCCTCCTGAGATGTGTGCAAACCTGGTGGCCAACTACAAGAAACGTCTGACCTCTGTGATTGCCAACAAGGGTTTTGCCACCAAGTACTAAGTCATGTTTTGCAGAGGGGTCAAATATTTATTTCCCTCATTATAATGCAAATCAATTTATAACATTTTTGGCATGCGTTTTTCTGGATTTTGTTGTTGTTATTCTGTCTCTCACTGTTCAAATAAACCTACCATTAAAATTATAGACTGATCATTTCTTTGTCAGCGGGCAAACGTACATCAGCAGGGGATCAAATACTTTTTTCCCTCACTGTAGACGCACGCGTAGTATTCTCACGCAGTACTCTCGTACAGTATACACGTGTAGTACTCGCAGTACCTGTAGCACTATCAGTATACACGTGTAGTACTCGCAGTACCTGTAGTACTATCAGTATACACGTGTAGTACTCGCAGTACCTGTAGTACTATCAGTATACACGTGTAGTACTCGCAGTACGTGTAGTACTATCAGTATACACGTGTAGTACTCGCAGTACGTGTAGTACTATCAGTATACACGTGTAGTACTCGCAGTACGTGTAGTACTATCAGTATACACGTGTAGTACTCGCAGTACGTGTAGTACTATTAGTATACACGTGTAGTACTCGCAGTACGTGTAGTACTATCAGTATACACGTGTAGTACTCGCAGTACCTGTAGTACTATCAGTATACACGTGTAGTACTCGCAGTACGTGTAGTACTATCAGTATACACGTGTAGTACTCGCAGTACCTGTAGTACTCGCAGTACGTGTAGTACTAGCGGTAGCAGTAGTAGTACTACACGTGTAGTAGTACTAGCAGTAGTACATACACGTTGTAGTACTAGCAGTAGTACTATTGCTAGTACTACACGTGTAGTACTAGCAGTAGTACATACACGTGTAGTACTAGCAGTAGTACTATTGCTAGTACTACACGTGTAGTACATACACGTTGTAGTACTAGCAGTAGTACTATTGCTAGTACTACACGTGTAGTACATACACGTTGTAGTACTAGCAGTAGTACTATTGCTAGTACTACACGTGTAGTACTAGCAGTAGTACATACACGTTGTAGTACTAGCAGTAGTACACACGTGTAGTACTAGCAGTAGTACTACACGTGTAGTACTAGCAGTAGTACTACACGTGTAGTACTAGCAGTAGTACTACACGTTGCAGTACTAGCAGTAGTACACACGTGTAGTACTAGCAGTAGTACACACGTGTAGTAATAGCAGTAGTACTACACGTTGTAGTAATAGCAGTAGTACTACACGTGTAGTACTAGCAGTAGTACACACGTGTAGTACTATCAGTAGTACTACACGTTGTAGTACTATCAGTAGTACACACGTGTAGTACTAGCAGTAGTACACACGTGTAGTACTATCAGTAGTACACACGTTGTAGTACTATCAGTAGTACTACACGTTGTAGTACTAGCAGTAGTACACACGTGTAGTACTAGCAGTAGTACACACGTGTAGTACTAGCAGTAGTACACACGTGTAGTACTAGCAGTAGTACACACGTTGTAGTACTATCAGTAGTACACACGTTGTAGTACTATCAGTAGTACACACGTTGTAGTACTATCAGTAGTACACACGTTGTAGTACTATCAGTAGTACACACGTTGTAGTACTATCAGTAGTACACACGTTGTAGTACTATCAGTAGTACACACGTTGTAGTACTATCAGTAGTACACACGTTGTAGTACTATCAGTAGTACACACGTTGTAGTACTATCAGTAGTACACACGTTGTAGTACTATCAGTAGTACACACGTTGTAGTACTATCAGTAGTACACACGTGTGCGTGATACTCACCCAGAGCGATCGCCACCAACGCGTAGCCGCGCGCGGCCCGGGCAGAAGGCGACATCGCTTCAGCGGCTATCGCCGGATCGTGTCGTCCACAGGCATCACGCTCGCTCTCACGACTACACACCGAGAACAACCCTGATGATGATGCTGCTGCTGCAATGACAACAATGACGCCGTTGTTATCAATAACAATAGTGCCTAAAAGTGGCGTGTGTGTGTATGTGTATCACGGTGAACGGCGCAGAGCGGCAGGAGCAGCCCCGCTCAAGTCCTGCGCGGCGTGGCCGAAGAGAGACCCCCCGCCCCCTCCTCCACCCCCCCCGCCCCTCCTCCACCCCCCCCGCCCCTCCTCCACCCCCCCCGCCCCTCCTCCACCCCCCCCGCCCCTCCTCCACCCCCCCCCGCCCCTCCTCCTCCACCCCTCCTCCTCCACCCCCCCCCGCCCCTCCCCCCCCGCCCCTCCACCCCCCCCCGCCCCTCCTCCTCCACCCCCCCCACCCCTCCACCCCCCCACCCCTCCACCCCCCCACCCCTCCTCCTCCACCCCCCCCCACCCCTCCTCCTCCACCCCCCCACCCCTCCTCCCCCACCCCTCCTCCTCCACCCCCCCCCCGCCCCTCCACCCCCCCCCCCCGCCCCTCCTCCTCCACCCCACCCCTCCTCCTCCACCCCCCCCGCCCTCCTCCTCCACCCCCCCCCCCCGCCCCTCCCCCCCCCCGCCCCTCCTCCTCCACCCCCCCCCGCCCCTCCTCCTCCACCCCCCCCACCCCTCCTCCTCCACCCCCCCCCACCCCTCCACCCCCCCCACCCCTCCACCCCCCCCACCCCTCCACCCCCCCCCCACCCCTCCACCTCCCCCCCACCTCCTCCCGCCCCTCCTCCTCCCCCCACCCCTCCTCCCCTCCCCCCCACCCCTCCTCCTCCCCCCCGTCCCTCCTCCTCCCCCGCCCCTCTTCCTCCTCCCCCGCCCCTCCTCCTCCCCCCCCCCACCCCTCCTCCCCCCCACCCCTCCTCCTCCCCCCCCCCACCCCTCCTCCTCCCCCCCCACCCCTCCTCCCCCCCTACCCCTCCTCCTCTTCCCCCCCCACCCCTCCTCCCCCCCCACCCCTCCTCCTCTTCCCCCCCCCCCACCCTCCTCCTCCCCCCCACCCCTCCTCCTTCTCCCCCCCCACCCCTCCTCCTCCCCCCCCCACCCCTCCTCCTCTTCCCACTCCTCCCCCCCCACCCCTCCTCCTCCTCCCCGCCCCTCCTCCTCCCCCCCCCCGCCCCTCCTCCTCCCCCCCCGCCCCTCCTCCCCCCCACCCCTCCTCCTCACCCCTCCTCCTCCCCCCCCCACCCCTCCTCCTTCCCCCCCCGTCCCTCCTCCTCCCGCCCCTCCTCCTCGCCCCCCCCTCCCACCCCTCCTCCTCCCCCCCACCCCTCCCCCCCCCACCCCTCCTCCTCCCCCCCCCCGTCCCTCCTCCTCCCGCCCCTCCTCCTCCCCCCCCCGCCCCTCTTCCTCCTCCCCCACCCCTCCTCCTCCCCCACCCCTCCTCTCCTCCCCCACCCCTCCTCCTAGCTCGCTCACAGCCCCCCGGGGTCCACAGTAAAACCAACAACAACAACTACAGCCGTAATCTTTGGTTATTTCGGTTAAAAAAAAGAGTCACGTAGATAAAAATTAAAAAATGAAAACAACTCAATCGCGAATCACGACGTTTCGGGCGCAACACAAGTGCCCGTGGTCAGGTGTGGGAACGACCCCAGCAATAAACAAATTGCTGAAATGGGCAAAAGGAGGCTGCTTGTGACACGAGGCGGCATCTCTTGAGGAAGGTTAGCCGTGTCCAACCCCAATCCCTTGTGTGTCACTCAGTGCTCGCTACCTTATTACAGAGCAATTCAGAACTTATTGGTCACCCCCGTGCCCCTTGTAAATCAATCCCAACGTTCATCCTGCACAATCCCATCATCACAAGGGAGAAACACAAATACACAAAAATCATTGTTTTTGTAATGTCTAATAGTTTGTTTTTTGCCTGTACTAAAGCCTGTCAATCCCTTGTCAGTTCCTACCTTATTCATGACCAATTCTGACCTTATTGGTCACCCCCGTGCCCCTTGTAAATCCCAACGTTGATCCTACACAATCCCATCATCACAAGGGAGAAACACAAATACACAACAAATGTTGTTGCCCGTATTGAAACGGCTGTAACGCTGTATGGACCTGATAACTAAATTTCCCTTTACAAGAATACGGGGTAAGCCGTGTGGGTTGACAGATATGTAGTAGTGTATAGTGTATTGCATAGTGTATTGTATATAATGTATGGTAGTGTATATAGTGTATGGTAGTGTAAAGTGTATATTAGTGTAGTGTATAATGTAGTGTATTGTATATAGTGTATGGGAGTCTATATAGTGTATGGTAGTGTAAAGTGTATAGTAGTGTAGTGTATAATGTAGTGTATTGTATATAGTGTATGGTAGTGTAAAGTGTATAGTAGTGTAGTGTATAATGTAGTGTGTAGTGTATTGTATATAGTGTATAGTAGTGTAAATTGTATAGTAGTGAAGTGTATATTAGATTACCTGTCAACCCCCTTATCAGTGCCCTACCTTATTACAGACCAATTCAGACATTATTGGTCACCCCGTGACCTTATAAATCTCAAAGTTCATCCTACAAAGTCCCATCACAAAGGGAGAAACACAAACAAAGATATATATTTTTTGCCCGTATTATAACGGCTGTACGGCGTATGGACCTGAAAACTCAATTTCCCCTCTACAATAATACGGAGTAAACCGTATGGGTTGACAGGTATGGTATAGTGTAGTGTATAGTGTATGGTATTGTAGTGTATAGTGTAGTGCATAATAGTTATATTGTAGTGTAGTGTATAATAGGGTATAGGGGTGTATAGTAGTGTTTTGGTGTATATAGTGCAAACCTGTCAACCCCTTTTGAGTGCCCTACCTTATTACAGACCAATTCAGACCATATTGGTCACCACGTGCCCCTTATAAATCTCAAAGTTCATCCTACAAAGTCCCATCACAAGGGAGACATTGAGAGAAATACAAATAACTTTAATCGCTACAGGCTTAGTGCAGCCTGGAAGCTATTATTAAATAAAATATATATTACAATTACAATTTCTGATAGGGGAAACAAATACTAATAACAATTGAACTATTACCAATCTATTATATCATTACAATACCCTCCCCCTCTCCGCCTCTGATCTCTGCACCAGATTGGGTTCAATGATGACGTCACTCTACTGCTCTATTTAAGACCGGGAGCAAGTGGAGGGCTTCACTATTCTGGCAAATTGCCTGATGATGCTGGATGTAATTACCAGCGAAACGTCGTACTCAAAAATTGTAAATGATGTTGAATCAACACACCGGTGGGCTAAAGTAGTGAATTATTTGTCATTTGTAAACGTGACACATATTTTGACTGATTGGCCGTGTCGAGTGGTGGACGGTTTCGACACATTTATAAATAACGCGATCTAACCCAAAAACGTTTAGTATTAATAATATTGGTCGCGAAAGCCTACGTGTTAAACTGAAAGAGACAAAAACTATTTTTTTTTCACGTACTGAAACGACTGTACGCCGTATGGACCTGAAACCAAAAATTTCCCCTGTACAAGAATACGGGTAAACCGTATGGGTTGACATGTATGCAACAAAATGAACTGTGACGAACCGTGGCGGTAGATGCGGATACCTGGTGCACAAATGGATAAATTAAACAGGACCGTAACAACGAATAACGCCACAATGCCCCCATCCACAACTACAAAGGAGACATCACGGCGATGATGATACAACTCCGCTACGCCTGACACGGTTGCCTTGGCTTGAGTACCACCTGAATGTGACATTGTAGTTTGTTGCTCTGCATCTACATCAGCCGTACGAAAGAAGAAGACGACTCACAGCCGCTATCCTACGACCCCGTTAACCCCATTCCTGTAATCCGCCAGCATCAAAGTATGAAAAATACCAATAGGTTTTACGATCTTCAAACGCCAAATATATTCCTTTTGCAAGGAATCAAGTCTGTATTAACCACATACAGTATTTGCGGTGAACATGCAAACAAAACATGCTGTGATAAGATATACATTGTCTTTGAGACTAATTGGCCTACACCAGAGACAGCAGACGTCTTAATGGTCTCGTCTCACCAGTGTAAGACCAGAGAACAACGCCAAAAAGCGTACAGTACAAAGTCAATGTACGTCTCAGAGGATTATTGCTCGGGTTGAGCAGCTATATCATGGGACCTATTTGAAGGAGAGTTCACGAAAACTCCTCTTGTCCTATTACATCTATTATTCGACCCTTGTATCCGCTTATGCTTTGTATCCGCCGATGCTTTGGAATGTGCAATATGTGCAATGACAAATGAAGGTCAAAGTTCGTAATGTCCACTTTACAGCAGACTCTTGGCGCTGGTAATGTCCCAGAGAATGCATTGGGCATCTCCACTAACGGCTGGCTCCGTTCAAGCTGACCAAGGTGAACACGCTGACAGCTCAGGTAATCAAATTAACAAATACATTTATATTATGTTGTGATTTATAGTAAGAAATATACCCCGAAATTCAAAAGCAGTTGACTAAATCTGTTTCATCCAGAAACCCTCCAACACCCGACACAGCCATACAAAAAATGTGAAGTTGTACAAACGTTTGAGCTAATTATGACTGTTTCAGCTCACTGGTAAGTTGACAAACAAGCCTAATAAATTCAGCAATTAACTACAATGACTAACCCAGTTTCATCAGATGTGGATGTTTGGATTCTGAACTAGGATGGTTTTGGATCTCGTTCAGTGTCCCAACATGTGTACTGTATACTCTGTGCTGATGACATCGCAGCTGTCGCGATTTTCACCTGAAGACGGGTGCTTGTGTTGCGTTCGAAACGTCGTGATTGATTTTATTTCTACCTACGTGACTTTACCGAAAGAATCAAAGAGTATGGATTCCTGCAGTCACGAAAGCTTCAAATCAATGTGTACTGTATTATGAACCATATGAACCACCCAACCACCTCATGTAAAACACGACTTCCTTCCAGCCAATCTTCCATATCTTGTTGGCTGCCAGAGCACACAATTTAACGTCTCATTTTATGAATGTCGTATTTGCTTAGAACTATATAGGAACCTAATAATAGCGGTTTTCCCCTTTTTTTCTGGCAACAAAACTGAAACCTTTTTACAAGGATTCATGTCTGCATTAACCACAATACCTGCAGTCAAAATGCAAACAAAAAACATACTATGATAATATATGCATTTGATTTGGCGCTTTCGTGACTCCAGGAATTACTCTTTGTTTTTTTTTGGTAAAGTCACTTAGAAATAAGAAATAATAATAAAATTACATAATATCATACGACGTTTCGATTGCAACGCAAGCAATCATCATCAGGCATAGAAGAGCTAAATTTAAGAGAGAGAGAGGAAACACAGAACCGCAGATATATATACAGACACCTAAGCAGAGGGAGTTAACAGAGACACAAAGAGAGACACAACGTATGGAGCACAGAGAGATAGGGTCTCTGTGCCGAAGCCTTAGCATGTAGGGGGGACAAAGAGAGCTGGAGAAGCACATCAAATGGAAACAATAAATTGTTTCCAAATTTTACTAAATCTTGTTCGATTTGATGTGCTTCTCCATCTCTCTTTGTCTCCCCTACATGCTAAGGCCTCGGCACAGAGACCCTATCTCTCTGTGCTCCATACGTTGTGTCTCTCTTTGTGTCTCTGTGTTAACTCCCTCTACTCAGGTGTCTGTATATATATCTGCGGTTCTGTGTTTTCTCTCTCTCTTAAATTTAGATCTTCTATGCCTGATGATAATTGCTTGCGTTGCAATCGAAACGTCGTATGCTATTATGTAATTTTATTATTATTTCTTATTTGTACGTGACTTTACCGAAAAAACCAAAGAGTAATATATGCATTGTCCTTGATACTGATTGGTCCACACCAAGGGATGGCTTTCTTTTGAGCCTCGACCCAATTGGTGCTCGACCAGATAACGCCAAAAGGCGTAGAGCTCAAAGACAATGCACTATCAAAGTAATGAGAGCTCGGGGTGAGCATCTACATCATTAGACCTCCTTTGCCAGTACCAAAATGTAATAATAGGGGTTTTTCCCCTTTTTTTCGCAACAAAACTGAAAAGGGGAAAAAAACCCTATTATTACATTTTGGTACTTGCAAAGGAGGTCTAATGATATATAGGAACCTCTTCATTTCATTTGTCCTGATAAATGACAGAATGTAATTAAACCCATTCATAAAACTGCATATATTTGAACATTTTTGAACTTCAGTGATGACACCAGTCGACACTGGCTGACGTTTGCTCAAAGGATGTAGCACTGGCCCATTCCATTTGGCTTCTGTTTAATAAATAATAATAATAATCCCTATAGGAATAGGTTTAACCCTTTTAACTGGCACAAAACCGACACCTTTATACAAGGGATCATGTTTGCAATAACCACAACACAAGTAGTCAAAATGCAAACAAAAAAGACAACTCTGATAATATGCACTGGCCAAAAGGCGTCTTCTGGTCCAACACCAGTGGGGACTAGGCTCTAAGAAAAGCCGTCTCGGGTGTGGACCAATCAAATTCAAGGACAGTGCATATTTTCAGAGTTGTCTTTTTTGTTTGCATTTTGACTGCTTGTGTTGTGGTTATTGCAAACATGATGCCTTGAATAAAGGTGTCAGTTTTTGTGCCAGTTAAAAGGTTTAAACCTATTCCTATATCTTGTTTCTGGCAAAGGAGGTTTCGTAAAATAATAATCCCTCTTGCGAAGAATGGCCAGCCTCACGCCCCCTGCCGGCCAGTCTCATAAAGGGCATCTGCCAACCCGTAAGCTCTGGTTGAATAATGAAATAATTTAGTTTATCCAGGAGTGTCTTCATACGACACAACTCTCTATTTTTCAGGAGAGTTCTACATTGTGATGTTTTTACTAGTCCCTCACTGAGGCTCGACTATTTTCAGGTGTATGCAGTAGGAGGCGATGATATGTGAAAACACAATTGAGTCATTTGCAGGGGTTTATTTGCATTGGAATATTTGGCCACTGTTGGTTAAATTGTATGAGTTTTTTTTAATGGGAGGAAACTGGAGAACCCCTCGGAAACCCATGCATAACAAACTACACAGAGAAAGTGAATTCAACTTAGGTTTTTTTCTTGTTTTGAGGCACGTGTCACCACCGCGCCACCCTGCCGCCCAGGCCAATACCTGCTTGACGAGGCTCATAAACCTGAAACTGGTCCCGAATGCCACTGTTTAAACTAAACTTTATTTTTGTTTTTACCAGGTAAAGCCCGCTGAGCTGTATAGCTCTTTTTCAGAAGCGACCTGGCCACAAATCATAGCTCAAAGTGCCTCATCGTGTGGAAATTTACAGCAGCCAAATACTCACGTTTCTGAATTTTATTGGAAATGTTGGTCCAGATGATGGGTTTTCGACTGATGAACCAACATTTGATTTTACGTCAGACGTATGCTTCTTAATTAACATTGCATGTGGAAGACTTTGGCTCAGGGGCCTCAAATTACCACTTTAGATCAATTGGACCCGTCTGCTTTTTCTAATAATGTATTGTACGTGCAAAACATAGATTCAGAAGGCTAATGCGGCTGATGTACCAAGAGTAATATTTTTATTTATCTCAATTGCCTTTTAAAATAAATGTATCCTGTGTATCTGTGGAACATTAGTCCAATAATATAGATTTGTGGCAGTTATTTAACATTTTCAGTCATCAAACATTCCCATTCGTTTCGAATCCCACACGAAACCGAAGGGAGCCCATCCGGTATTGGCAGTAGTGCGGGGGGGGGGGGGGCGGTCCCGGACCGTGCGGGTGCCTTGGCCGTGCGGTGAGGGGGGCCCGGGGGACCCCGACCACGCGGTTAGAGGGGGTCCCCGACCACGCGGTGAGAGGGGACCCCGGCCACGCGGTGAGGAGGGGGGCCCGGACCACGCGGTGAGGGGGGTCCCCGACCACGCGGTGAGGGGGGACCCCGGCCACGCGGTGAGGAGGGGGGCCCGGACCACGCGGTGAGAGGGGGTCCCCGACCACGCAGTGAGGGGGGTCCCCGACCGCGCGGTGAGGGGGGACCCCGACCACGCGGTGAGAGGGGGTCCCCGACCACGCGGTGAGGGGGGACCCCGACCACGCGGTGAGGAGGGGGGGGCCGGACCGCGCGGTGTGAATTTAAACACCGCGCGCTTTTTTCCACGGCGCGCGGTGATGCCGTCCCACCTCAAAGCAGGCGCGCGAGGATTGCGCGCGCGACAACAATCGCAGCGCCTATTGAACCGTCGGCTCGTCGCAAACAGCCAATCAGAGCGCGCCTAACTCGCTGCCTGACACCGCCGGCAGAACTCACAACGGTGGCGGCGGGGGGGGGGGCGGGGATTGTATGCGTTTGAATTTCCCATATCGTATAAGCCGCGATGGAGGAGGCGGGGCTTTGAAGGCGATTGCATTTTTTACATGGGATAAGCCGCTCTCCGGGGGGCGGGGTTAGAGGCGTACTAGGGGGCGGGGTTTATAAGCGTTTATATTTCCCACACCGGATAAGCCGCAATCGGGAGGCGGGGTGGCAGCGCTCTTCTAACGCAGCTCATTGGTGCACATCGCGAGCAGCACCGCCTCCCCCCCCTCAGACATCCAATGGCGGACAGTCTCGCAACCGCCGCCGCCCCCCCCCCCCCACCAGTCCCGCCGAGCACGCGGCGCGACCGTCCAATCGTATGGCGGGAATGCGTATCCGAGCTGGGAAATGTGCGGTGTGGGGGGGTGGTGTAGGGGGAAGAGGCTTCGTGTGTCGCTGGGGGGAGTCGCAGCAGTGAGAGGCGCAGGAGGAGGAGGAGGAGAGGGGAAGAAGCCGCGGCCGCCGTCGCCGAAGAGGAAAAAAAGGCCTCCCCCCCCCCCTCCACCACCTTCGTTTGAAACATCGCGGCGCAACAATCGCAGCAGCAGCAACAACAACAGCAACAACAAAAGAGACGATTGTCGCCGTCGTTATATCGCAAAGGGCCCGCGCGTCCTCCCCGAGTAATGTTTTTTTGAGTGAGTATCGGAGAGAGAGCGAGAGAGAAAAAAAAAACGCCGCTGTTGAGATTCGAGAAGGCCGAAGTGAACGCCGCTTGAAATGGTGACGCAGTGCAGCCCCCGAGGCCCAGGCGCAACCGCGAGCAGCAGGGCCCGCGGAACTAGCAAAGACAGAGCCAAACCCGAGCTGCAAAACACGCGCCCTCCCGTGTGTTACAAATCGGCGTGAGCTTCGCAGGGCGCTCGCGCGCGCGCGTGTGTGTGTGTACGTGCGTGTGTCTTTGTACAGTGTACGTATGCGTTCATTGTGTGTCATAGCTGTTGTATAATGGAGTTTGTGTGTGTGTTCGGATTTATATTGGGTGGACGCGAGTGAAATGTGTCCCGTCATGAGCGACACGGGCTGGGCCCTCAGTCGGCGTGGTGAAGTGTAGTCAAACGAACCCCCCGCCGCCTCCGCTTCACGGGCGACGCAAGCCAGGGGAAGATCTCGTAGAGACGCGAATTAACAAAAGATCTCGTAACAGGATTTTTACGTGTGTGTGTGTACAGTGGGTGGTTTTTTTTCTCCTCGTGTTGTTTACAGTTTTGGGTGTAGGTAGGTAAAGCGCTGCGTATGTTCGTGTGTATGTGTTTAGACTGTACGCATGTACGGCGGATGATGCTGTACGCTTGTATCTGCGTGTGTCGTATCTGTAAGCACCCACCCCCCACGATGGCCAACGACACTCGGGCCTGCCCTGTGATTTGCCTGCGAGCCTTCGGTCCCTTTGCGTGACGGCGCCGGCGTGCACCTAGCCTGGCACAGTCTCCGCGTTGACATCACCGCCACTTGTGTTAATGTGTGCGCGTGTGTACCGCCAAGCGAGCTCCCTGGTTCGATTTCCCGCTCACGATTGACTGAGCCGGTACATGGGCCTCCCCCCTAGGTCGACTCGGCCTCAGGCGGCCTGCCGGGCCGGCCTTCGCAGGTGCTCGCTAACAACACTTGCCCCAACAGTCTGTTTAAGGCAATACGGGGAGGGCATCTTTGTCTTTAATGCTGCCAAGGAGCCGGTAGTGTAGCTTTCGGCGCGCTATACGAACCCGGCGACCCGAGTTCGATTCGCGCTCACGGCCACCGTCACCCAGTGAGGATTATCTGAACCGGTCCTGGGGGGCCCTCCCCTCCCTTACCTAGGTCGACTCAGCCTTCAATGAGTGCGGTGTGTTAAACATCGTGACTGGGAGAGACAAAGGCGGTCGTGCGTGGCCACCACCCTCGTGTGCCGTGCCGGCCTTCACAGGTGCTACTCCCAAGCGGCACTTGCCCCTACAGCATGTTAAGGCTGCACGGGAGATGCTTGTGCCTGCTGTGTCTTGTCAGCCCCGATAGCCGACGACACTCGGGCCTGCCCTGTGATTGATCTCCGAGCCTTCGGCCCTTTTGCTTGGCGGCGCCGGAGTGCACCTAGCCTGGCACACAGCCTCTGCGGTGACGTCTGTAAATGTGTGTGTATATATAGTTACTACCAAGGACCCAACCAAACGTAAGGTGACTGAACAATAGTATATTTTTTGGTAACGTTCTGTTGTCACCATTACAAGTGCAGGCCGCTGTAAATTTGGAAGCATACAAGACGCGCGAGGTGGCGGGTGGGGACATTTAAAAAAAATGTTTATCACGGTCCATCGTTTCCACCGTCCATCGGTGGAAACGCCACGTTCCCATGGCGGGAGCCAGCGGGTCATTTGGGAAGGCCACGGTTGACCACTGACAACGCGGTTACGCATGCTTTGTTTTTAACCAGGGGGATGATGGGCTCGGTCAATCCCCAGATGGGGATGATTTGAACTCGACAACCTTCCGAATTGTGAGTTCTAACCACAGCGCTACTTGACTTATCCACAGTACTTGCCACGCTACGGCTATGCCCAAGACCGTTTCAGTTAAACACGTGCACTGTCACTCTTACTTTTCCATCCACTTAAGGGGGTTGGGGGGTGGCCATTGTAAGATCTGTGGTGATACTGGTGCTGACGTGTATGGGTTTTCACGGTTTTCTCAAACAAAGGGGCAAACGTCGAAGAAGGACCGAGCAAGAGACGAAGAGGTAGAGGTGGCGTGTGGCTACTTTCAGCCGTGCCACTTGGCATGTTATGCAGCTGCCGATGGGGATGATCTACAGTGAGGGAAAAAAGTATTTGATCCCCTGCTGATTTTGTACGTTTGCCCACTGACACAGAAATGATCAGTCTTTAATTTTAATGGTAGGTTTATTTGAACAGTGAAAGACAGAATAACAACAACAAAATCCGGAAAAACGCATGCCAAAAATTTTATAAATTGATTTGCATTTTAATGAGGGAAATAAGTATTTGACCCCCTCTGCAAAACATGACTTAGTACTTGGTGGCAAAACCCTTGTTGGCAATCACAGAGGTCAGACGTTTCTTGTAGTTGGCCACCAGGTTTGCACACATCTCAGGAGGGATTTTGTCCCACTCTTTGCAGATCTCCAAGTCATTAAGGTTTCGAGGGAAGGAGGTTCTCACCCAAAATTTGACGGTACATGGCCCCGTCCATCGTCCCTTTGATGCGGTGAAGTTGTCCTGTCCCCTTAGCAGAAAAACACCCCCAAAGCATAATGTTTCCACCTCCATGTTTGACGGTGGGGATGGTGTTCTTGGGGTCATAGGCAGCATTCCTCCTCCAAACACGGCGAGTTGAGTTGATGCCAAAGAGCTCCATTTTGGTCTCATCTGACCACAACACTTTTGTTGTCCTCTGAATCATTCAGATGTTCATTGGCAAACTTCAGACGGGCATGTATATGTGCTTTCTTGAGCAGGGGGACCTTGCGGGCGCTGCAGGATTTCAGTCCTTAACGGCGTAGTGTGTTACCAATTGTTTTCTTGGTGACTATGGTCCCAGCTGCCTTGAGATCATTGACAAGGTCCTCCCGTGTAGTTCTGGGCAGATTCCTCACCGTTCTCATGATCATTGCAACTCCACCAGGTGAAATCTTGCATGGAGCCCCAGGCCGAGGGAGATTGACAGTTCTTTTGTGTTTCTTCCATTTGCGAATAATCGCACCAACTGTTGACATCTCACCAAACTGCTTGGCAATGGTCTTGTAGCCCATTCCAGCCTTGTGTAGGTCTACAATCTTGTCCCTGACATCCTTAGAGAGCTCTTTGGTCTTGGCCATGGTGGAGAGTTTGGAATCTGATTGATTGCTTCTGTGGACAGGTGTCTTTTATACAGGTAACGAGCTGAGATTAGGAGCACTCCCTTTAAGAGTGTGCTCCTAATCTCAGCTCGTTACCTGTATAAAAGACACCTGGGAGCCAGAAATCTTTCTGATTGAGAGGGGGCCAAATGCAAATCAATTTATAACATTTTTGACATGCGTTTTTCTGGATTTTGTTGTTATTCTGTCTCTCACTGTTAAAATAAACCTACCATTAAAATTATAGACTGATCATTTCTTTGTCAGTGGGCAAACGTACAAAATCAGCAGGGGATCAAATACTTTTTTCCCTCACCTGTACCTGGGTCACGTTAAGCGTTTGAGACCCTTTGTATTGTGGTGGTGTTCGTGATGGAGGTTGTTAATGATGTGGCAATTGCATGTTATTGACGGACGCTCTGTTGAGGTGCAAATGTCCGCGTGGTTTTTTTGAGTGGTCATTTAATTGCAGTCGAAATGTGAGCTTTACAGTTTGTAATGAGGTTATGCATTATGTAACGTGGCCCTGCGTTGATATAAAGCCTTTGCATCATTTTCTGTTGCTATTAAAAGCAGTGAGGAATCAATGTGCCTAAGCACACTGTACATATTGTTCGCAAGCCTTACACGTGACTGTTTTTTACAATAATGTGCCGTTGGTTAATCTGTTGGATGCCGTGTGTCTGTTTTTCTAGGCCACTGGTGGGTTCTTGCCTTGGTCATTCTGGAGAATATTCATAGAATATACAGGACCTTCAATCGACTGGTGACCATTCCGTGCGCGCATACACATTCACTTCGTGCTGTGTGAATAACTTGGCACTGCAGTTCACGTTTAGTGTTATTGTTATACCCATAAGCATTTAACTAAACCAAGCAGTTTTCTTGAATTATATTAGCATGGTTGGCTACGTGCGGTGTGAGAGAAGTTCAACACACAAGTGTATCAGGTCACTGAAAATACATACTGCAGCTGCTGTCAGTACCCGAAAATAAACATCAATATTAATATAAATCAGTGACCTCTTTTAATAGCAATGATACTATTTGTCCCACATTTTACTAATCGAAAAAGTGCTTTTGAGTTTAGGGGTATATTTCTTACTGTAAATTACAACAATAAAAATGTTATATGTTCGTCAATACCAGAGCGGTCAGTATGTTCACCTTTGTCAGGTTGTACAGAGGCAGATGCCCAGTGCATTCTTTGGGACATTACCAGAGCCACGAGTCTGCTATAAACTGGACATTACAAACTTTGACATTCATTTATAATTGCACAAATTGCACATTTCACATCGTCGTCCATAAAACCTAACCGACCACGATGTAAATCATATAGCCATTGTTTTTTTGCAAGGAAAAGAAACATCCTTGAAGCATAGAAATGTTAATCGGTTCTGAAATGAAGTAAAGGGCATAAAACTTGTACGAATGTAAATGTCCCCATAAATTACACTGAAACCGGTGTACACACAGTGGGCACACGGAACAGGCAAATTTAAAATGTTTAAGACAAACAACATAGCATCATTTAACCAATAATGTATGTGTCAATAATTAAGGATGCTGTGTATTAGAACAGAAAACGTTGCATTTGTACCTTTACCAGTTTAACCTTGAGAAAAATTACCATTATTTTAGCATCTTACCAAAGGGTAAATAAAACTAACACTGTAATCTAAAATGCACCGTTTATGATGTTTCCATGTTAAACATTGAACTTTTGGGGTGTTGTCTATGGCAGGTGCACGAGTTAGTAGATATTTCATTGCAAATAATTCACGTTCAATATACAGTGTAATATAGTCAGTTATTGTGTCACAGACCTTAACCATGAGTAGGAACTTAGAATAATGTCAATGACTTGTGTCTGCAGGATGTTTGTAACAAATTAACCTTTTGGATTCCTTAACAGAATTTACGTGAAGACCTTGATGGGCAAAGCGATAGTTCCATAAGTAAGTTTTTCCATATTCTTATCATGAATTCATAGTCACGAGTATTCGTATTAAAGGGATTTCAAAATCGTGCCTTTATTAGGTCCACACACTTAAACATTTCACGGCTATAAAAGCAATTATAAAGTCGTGTATCCTTCAGTAATACTGTAGAATTGTTAAGTTATTTACACACTGACCCTGTTGGCATTCCTCAGCCATTGGTGGAAATCAAGTGTCACAGTGACAGGGAGCAGTCTATATAGTCTCCCCATTACTGACTTCCCACAACATATTACTCGTTTTGTTCATCCCAGAGAGATTGGGGGCTGAGTTGACCCTTGACCAGGATTTGATCTCTCCACCCTAATGTAAGTCGCTTGTTTCTGCCTCGCGTTGCTACCCATGTCTTTTTTTACGAGTGTTACAAACGGGACAAAAAAACAAGCGATTCCGTAACATTCATTTGTAATTAAAAAAATGACACTAAATGGAGAATGACCAATGGTAATCACGTGCAAGAGCTTTTTTTCTCTCCGTTTTTTTGCCGCTAGATGGCAGATAGCTAGCGGTGCCCTTGCACGACTGCACATTGGAAGGACAATCTTTTTTTTTTCTTTTTTTGTCTGGTGAGGGTGTAAAGACGTTTAAAATGTTTTGAAGAATGAAGCTGCAACATGGCGATGGCTGCATGAATCGTGGCATCGTTTGCAAATGGTGTCATGGCGGAATTGAGACATGTTTGGCCTGACATTAGAAAAATGCCCAATAAAGCACAACAAATGTGAATCCTTTATTTCATGGTGTGCGTATACCTGTCAACCCATACGGTTTACCCGTATTTTTGTACAGGGAAATTGAATTTACAGGTCCATACGGCATACAGCCATTTCAATATGGGATAAAACATGTTTTGTCTATTGTTTGTGTTTCGCCCTTGTGATGGGACTTTGTAGGGTGAACGTTGAGATTTATAAGGTGACCAGTAAGGTCTGAATTGGTCTAATAAGGTAGGCACTGATAAGGGGTTGACAGGTATGGGTATGATTTTAACATTGTTGGCACCCTACAGTCACACTGGCAACCCACATGTAAATGGTGCCATTATTTTTGCTACATTTCGATTATTCTTTCAGGTCATATACAAATGACAGCATGCTGCTGTTCTAATCTCGCAGTTGTATAAGGACACCACCATCTTGGTTTACACGATTCATCTATCAAAATCTGGGGAAAAAATATTGCACAAAGTACCAGTGTCATGCCACATCACTGTACAGGCCTAGGATACAATATAGTTGAACGTCTCGTATTAAAACGACTGTGTACGTTCACAAGTGTTTTGCGTATAAAAAAATCTATCTTGCAAGGTGACACTGGTGAGGGCACTTAAAACACAATTGTAAAGTTGTGAGTTTAAATCCCTAGCAATGGTTAACTTGGCCCATAATCTCTCTGGGGTTAATAACTATCGATAAACTTTTTGGGAAGTCAACAGTGCTCATCCCTTAAGCCATGCAAACTCACACCTGGCATGGGGAATGTGGAATCTCCACCACAGATTTAGAACCATCAAAGGAACATTACCCCTTTGATCTGAGCATTGCTCTTTTTTGTGAGTGTGGGGGGGGGGAGGCATTTGACTTGGCAAGATTACATTTTGGTTCAAAAGTTAATAAAATGGCCTCTAGTTAACAATGATAGGGTTAAGGTGTTATGCCTCCAGGTTGTCTGTATTGCCTGTGACGTTCTGTTGGCACCTGTGTGGAAAGCAGTTGCGGAGGTGTCCTGCGGCTGTGCGTCCTTCCACTGTACTCACAACATGCCCGTCAAGAAGAAGAGGAGGTCCCCTTGCTCTGAGGAGGTCACAATCAAGCGCTCTAAGAGAGACGGGTGCGTGCAAAGTTTCTAGCAATACAAATATAACTTCCCTCGAAGTTATTAACCCTAGCCGTGAGCATACCTGCAATGATATCTTCTTAATGAGCCCAATTCATGTAGAGTTTTCACATTTTTCAAAAATTCTGCCGTGAGCTGAAAGTTCCAGTGAAGGGATTTCTCCCTCTTTCATCAAGCGGTTTTTTAAAATTTGATTTTCCAAGGCGCATAAGCCATCACGCGAACTCCGGTCATCTTCGCAGCGGCTTTTGGCTGGCCATCGAACAAAGACGGTCACTGCATCGCGCGCTTTCAGATGCGTTTCTGCGGCCGTCTGGAACGCTCTTCCAATATTAGGAAGCCACTGGAGCTGTGTACTCTTAAATCTAGATTGAAGACTAATTTAATTATAACTGCTTTTTGTGTTTAGTTGTCCTTCCCCGCATCTCAAATTATCATGGTTGGTTAAGTTCGGTGCCAAAGATGCTCAACATACAACCCCATTCCACAAAAAATCCATAGCGATCAGGTAGCCAGGGAAGTGCCAATGGGAAGCAGCTCTGTGTCATGCTGACGTCAGCACAATTTGACCACTGATGGACCAAGATGACCAATCAGGAACCGTCTATCTCAAGCATGAATACACGTGAACGCTCATATGTTTAGGACAGTTACTCCACCCTCTGCTGAATGTAGCTTTAAGGCATAGCATATCACTACAAAAGAGCAATGATGATGATGTAGAAGGCGAGAGCGATGTTGATGGTGGTAATAGAGGAGAACAGTCCTTCGTGCACTGCGCTCCGAACCACCAGCAACTTAAGTTTGATTACCAGCCATGACGTAACATCAGTGGCGATCGTCTTTGGAACCTGTTTTTCTTGTGTCTCCTAGGTTTAATGGGAGTTTCGCATGACACCTACAATAGTTCACTCTTGAGGCATGGGTTGGTGGATTGTGTTGAGATTTATTAAGTTACCAAACCTGACTATTTCTAGGAAAATGCAGTACAGAAATTGATTCTTGAATCAACTTGTTTAGTCATTTGGGTGGTATCCCATTGTAATATCTGTTTAATCTGGGTACTCCAGTTTGCAGAGAGCTGACCAATAGTAAACATTACAGAACCATCGCACCCATGAGGCACATGGGGAAGAAACTAATGATAATACTATTAAATCTATGAAAAGCGCAGACTGAGGATTATTTGCCACATGAACAGGTTCGGCTTTAGGAAAGATAGGAACACAGAACAGCATGTCTTGATTTTAATTTTTATAACAGAGAAAGCAAAGCAAAATCATTGGCTGGTTTACAACTGTTTAATAGATTTCCAGAAAGCATTTGATTCGACTAAGCTAGATATAAAGTGGCCAATATTAAGATCATATGGAGTAGGCAAAAGACTGACACAGATTATGCAGGATATAGGTGAAAGGTCAAAGTCAGCAGTAACGTTTTGACAAGAAAGAGGAGTGGTTCCCTTTAACACATAGGTATGAGACCAGGGATTCACTATCACCAAGCAACTTTGTCACATACTTGGAAAGAGTGATGGATGCCATTCAGGACAACGGCACAGGAATATCTGTGCAAGGAGAAAGAATAAATAACCTGAGATTCACGTACGACATAGATCTGATGGAAGAAAGTTGCGTAGCACTGCAGGAAAGTGTTCATATGCTGAATAAGTCAGGAATGGATGCAGGACCGAGGATGAATGTGGACAAGACAAAGACGGTGTTCGAAAGGGATGACATTGAGAGAGAAGTAATAATAGAAAGTAGCACCATTGTGAATGTAAAGGAATTTGTATACTTGGGAAGTCTACTGACATGGGACAACGACTACACGAAATACACAAGAGCGATGATCACAAAAGCAAAGGGAGTAATGGTAGGATTCAGTCACATCTGGAGAAGCAAGTAAACCAGCTACAAGACCAAACATGCGTGTTCAGTACAGCTTTGTGTGCCTTCTCGATTTGGACATTGAAAAAGACTGACAGAGATAAGACATTGGCACTAGAAATGTATTGCTACAGAAGGATACTGCATCTAAACTGGACTCAAAGAGTGACCAATGTAGAAGCAGGAAAACGGTTGCACACAATGAGTCCTGATGCAGGCAGTGATGAGAAGGAATAACAGGAAAATTAAAAGTGTTGTTCAGAAAAATGGAAGGAATTGGGAAAAAAGGAAGACCTAACAGAGAATGGTTTGACGACATATGTGATTGGTGCCAGAAAGATGTGCACTAATTGAGCATATTGGCACAAAACATGAAAGCGGAAACAAATGATTAAATATATAGTGGACACCTATGGGCTATCTGCCCCATGGATCTTGATGATGATAACTCCGGTTTTCTCCCACATAACAATTATTATTAACGGTGAGTCTTCACAGTTATTGTGACTTCCCGGGAACACTGCCTTTGCATCCTCTTCATCTTGGTCATAGTCGTTATCAGCAGCAGAAGCAAAATCAGCAGTACTGTAATGGTCAAAGCAACATAATTGCCTTCATTTTCAACATATCTTTGGAGTTTGCATGATCTCCCCATGGTCGTGTGGAATTTTGTCCAGGTCCTCTGGTTTTACCCTCCACATTTGGAATCAACATCACATGTTCAGAGTATTTGGCTGCGATAGACTTCCACATGATAAGCCACTTAATTGAGCTATCATTTGTGGCGAGGGTGTTTCTGAAATATAACTATATAGCTCGGTGGGCCTTACCTGGTAAAATAAAAAAAGTTTTAACCATTTAAATTGTCAGTATTGATTTTCGTCATTGACTTAATTATCGTCAATCATATTTTTATCTCGGCTAATCTTCACGTGCGTGTCGGATTTCTCTTTACCGCACGATTGAAAAAAATATACAAATAATTTATAGAATTGAGGCACCAAACAGACACGTACATTTTTGAGGAATGGCGCCATGCCTTCACTTTCCCACACAATCCACGCCTCCAAATGGTGATTAACGCGATTTCATTTTGCATCGTTTTGGAAACTTTCCGCTGTCATTGGGCTGCGCCCACTTTTGGCCATTCCACAGGTTTGGCACAAGGAATGGCAGAATGGGTGCATTTTTCGTTATGTAGCATCAGCTGCACTTGAATTGCAAAAATGTTCTAAGTTTGAACAACTTTCCCTAGTTTTGTAGGAAATATTTTTTTTTAAAAACAGCCATTGTTCTGCCTAAAAGTGGATGAATGACATCCAAAATAACTACATGAATTGAGTCCGAAATTTAGGCTGAAACTATGAAGTGTAAAATTGACTCTAACCTATCCTTAGCATAAATACTGTGTATTATTAGTCTGTTAACAGTGAACTAAATTTCAATTAACTGTACACCTTCATCATTTAAATGCGACGTAAAGTTAAACATGATCCAAATGTGTTCCCTCAATGCCTTGACTATGAAGTTAACATTATTTTAGCTGTCACATTTTCCTTAACCTGAATGAAACCGAGACCTCGTCATAAGTCGTGTGCTAAACCTTAAAGGATTTCTCTAATGTAACGGTATCTGGTGCCTAATCCAAGCCTAAAAACAATCTTTAAAGTTTTCTTGTCCTTTGGCCTGGCACTTAACCAAATGAGATAAGAAGCTGCCTATTGAAAAGCAATCACATTAACAGCACCAGCCTTAACCACACTACTTAATATTCCTCAGACTGAGGAATTTAACCCTTGACAACTCTGAACTTCATTTATATTACGCCACACGAATTGCACATGTAGTTACCAATCATGCTTTATTTGAGGCCAATAAACAGAGAGCACGCTCACCGCTAACTTTTAGGAATGACTACAAGAACACAGAAGCAGGAATTTCAAGTGCCCGTTCCAAATTATGGCTTGATGGATGGGAGCCAGGTGCAATCCAAGGGACATGGTTCAAGCAAAGTCCTCTCTCCTGCGCTATATATACTCGCGTACTCCCATGAATAGGCAATCCAAGTGTATGCTAGCCGGTTCCTTTGGCTCTGTGTTCTGCGGTCTCTCATTACATCGGCTATTGCGCACGTCATCGGCTCAAGCTAGCATGCATTGGGATAACAAGCCATGTTGTGAAAAAGTGACATTTGCGTGCCATTTAGCATCGATTGTGGCTGTGTATGTGTTTGCATTCAGCTCTGTGAGGGTACAGCCTTGCAGTACTATGAAAAACGAAGACTCCTTCACCAACAAAAGGTGTTTAACCTGGTTTAGTGAATACACAGGTGAGTGCCCCATGGGAATACATTTTAGCAACTGATGGTGGGAAAATGTGTGAAAATAAATAACACTGGTCACTGGAAACTTCCTTCAGATATTGTTAACGGTGTTAGGTTTGATATGTATTTAATATTTTTTTAATTAACACCCAGGTTGTGTGCGGTGGTTACAGCACCCGTCTTAGATTTGAAAAGTTGCAGGTTGCCTCCTAAGACAATACGATGAATAATGCTTTTGTGGACAGTCCGTAGTGGCCATCTTGTGGATAAAATGGTGTGCACCTTAGATGGAATTTACTACCATGTATCACTAGGATCAGTGGTTTGAGCGTGTACAGTGATTGTAGCAAGCAGCGACAGCCATTCCTCACTAGAAGGAACACTGTCTTTTAAAAGAAGGGGAGCTCCAAAATATAAATAACTCTTGTAATATTGTACCCAGGGGTATTTAGCTATGGTTGTCCCAACACAAGGTTAAAGCCTCTTTTCTTAGAACCGACTTTTAAATTATGGTCATGCGTGCTGCCATAGTGTACTCTAATGACGTTACTGCAATGGCATAACATATTGGAATGACTGCATCCTAACATTACTATAGTGCCACAAAGATGCACCCTGACCATGATTTTAGTCTTATTTCTCATGAATACATTTTCACACACATGGCAGACAGCCCAGATCACATTGACCATATATCTGTCTCCAAGATATGATGCATTTACTTTTTGTGTTTCATCTAGTTTTAAACCATCAATCATCCATAATGTTCTATTGGCCGTGAATGGCATTCATTAGACATCAGCCCTTCTGTCCTTTGGCTTCACCCACTGTAAAATGTCTGCACAACTTAATTACGTAGTTCACATCATCGCCATATTTTTGTCAACGTAATATTGTTACGTTTTAATTTATTTTACTTTGTTTTGGCATGTACTGTGGATTATCTAGCTTGAGGTTTTTTTTTTTGTTGGGGGGAAGGGGGTGGGGGGCAGGTTTTGGTTGAATATTTTTTGAGAGCATGTGTTAACATTTTGTACGGGTGTGAATATGAATGGAGGTAAGGGATGGGCTGTGATTTCTGTTTTGCAGGAAATGATGATGTTATTGGTCCAGAAGGAATGGAGAAGTTCTGTGAAGACATTGGCGTGGAACCTGAAAATGTATGCCAGTCATATCAATTTTCATTATTTATCAAAATATAATAAATCAAATGTTTATTTACATGTGGCTGTGCACATTCATTGAAGGATTTTGTTCACATTTGTAATAATTCTACCAATTTCAGGGCACGTTGCCATATTTCCAAAACATAATATTGTCTTTTAATGGTTGGCACTTAACCAACATCATTTGGACATATAATCTGTTCATAATTTGACCAGTACATTTCATAAGCAGGTCTGCCTGTCAATGACTTATAATGAGATTTTCACGAATGTTTTAGGTTTGTCTTAATGCATATAGTCTGCTGTGGTCAGCACATATACATTTATTACTATTCCTTTGTACTACTTTCAGAAAAAAGTTTACTGGCTGGAATCTTAATTGGACTTATGTCTGCCTGGCGTATGTCCAAGTGCAAGTGGGGGGGGTGACGTCACCTCGCATATCTGCGTGGTGACGTCACCCGCATCCCACAGCGTTGAGCCGAGTTTGTGGGTTCGTGTGTGGCACTAATGGCACCCTCCACCCCGGCCATGTATCCCGTGCAACTACTATAGAGGAGATAAGAGGAGGGAGTTATATTCTATTTTTGCATACGATGGCAATATGTTGAGGAGCTAAATGCCAATGTCGAGGCATGCTTAACACGAGAGGGCTTCAGAAGAGAGTTTGTATAAATTTAGCCATTTACCGTTGAACAAGCACAGACTACAGTGGTTTATGGCCACAATAGCACTGGCTCGTCTTTAATTTTTCATTTATGAAGTAGATAGCGGCCTGTTGATGTTCTGACACTGATGACCAGTGTGTTAAAGGAGGAATGGCAAAGTAAGGAGGTGCGATGTTTGGGTCTCAAAGGATATGTTTGTTCTGGACGTCTGCCTTCCTCTATCTTTTACCGTTGCCATCTCGCTGCCCATCTGTTGGCTATTTTCGTGTTATCTTAAACACAACTAATATGGTCGTATCGGTGAAATGGACGTCATTAATTTGAAACCAGGTATGATCAATAGGAGGGAGGAAGAGATGGAGGGGCAGGGAGAGAGTGAAAGGGCGTGAAACGGAGAGAGCAAAATGGAAAGAGGAGTGCAAGGGAAAGTGACGAGCAGCGGGAGGGAGGATCATGGAGAGGCAAGAGAGATTGAGATGAGGAAAGGGAGACGTGGGAATAAGCAGAGTGAGGATGAGAGGTGAGAAAAACAAGTGGGTAAGATACATAATAATAGAATACTACGTTTCGATTGCAACACAAGCAACCATCAGCAGGTACAAATGAATGAGAGAACAAACATTAAACTTGGAAATATTATGCAATACACAGAGAGTCGGCCAACAAAACAGTCAACACCCCACCTGGTTGATTACGTTCTTCCAAAGATCACTAAATTTGAGAGAGAGACAAAACGTAGACACGGAGACACACAGACAGACACACAAGCAGAGAGAGACTCGCACATAGACAAAGGCCTCGACTCAGAGACGTTGTCTTTCTGTGTGCCTATGTGTGTCTCTCTCTGTCTCTGTGTGAGTCTCTGGTTGTGTGTCTGTGTCTCCGTGTCTATGTTTTGTCTCTCAAATTAAGAAATCTTTCAAGAACGTAACCAACCAGGTGGGGTGTGTTGACTGTTTTGTTGGCCGACTCTGTGTTGTATTGCAAATTATTTCCAAGTTTACTCTGTTAGTTTTCTCATTCATTTGTACCTGCTGATGGTTGCTTGTGTTGCAATCGAAACGTTGTATTCTATTATTATTTAATTAAATTTATTTCTACGTGACTTTACCGAAAGAACCAAAGAGTAATTCCTGCAGTCACGAAAGCTTCAAATCAAGTTTGGGTAAGATACAGTGAAGGTAGGAGAGCTTTTTATATTTGTATTGAAGTTGGAGGGGTTATCATCCCCTTGCACCCATCCAGAGCCCCCGTTGGCATGCCATGAGGGGCACAGCTGATTGCTATCAGCCTCTCCCCCAATGGCATTGCTTACAGCACACAGTGTAAACAACTGGCAACCACCGAGGAGGGGAGGGGGGTTGCCAGTCAACATCTACGCTAGTTTTAAACATTCAGCCTGCCCTGCCTATGGTCCATCCTGGGTTTAATCAGTTCCGATTTTATGAGGAACTCGCAGATCCTTGAAAGATCTGGACACTGTCCCATCGGTGAGCTTCCCTGGCAGGCGAGGCTACGTTGGTTGGGTTATGTAGCCTGCATGCCCAAGCAACCTCTGTTTGGCTGGATAGAGAGGACTAAGCAGGCATAGCCCAGGCTAGAGAAGAGATAGGCTGCTGTGGTACAGGAGGATGTAGAGCTGAGTGGACTTGGCGTTGACCGGTACTAGTGGTGTCAAGATCGGCCTCTGTGGAGAAGACTCGTGAAGGACACTGCTGGGAAGTTGGAGGAAGTCGTCCTCCAACAACACACAATGGAGAGCAGAGGAGCAATGCCCACAACAATGAACAGAGCACCGAGTGAATAAATTCCAGCAAGTTGGCACAGTAGGGAGCACAGGTGGTGCATCTGTTAGTCATCTGACACTTCGGTGTGTCCCGTGAACTGATCTCCAGTCAGCGAGCCTTTAACATTTAACTTGGCCTCGAAGTGCACATAGCCTGGAACAAGCACTGGTGATGTCGCCGCCACTTAGTGGGGTAAATGGCGACTGTTGGAGAAGAGTAATATCGAGGGAGGGAGAGGTAGAAGAGGGGACAGAGAAACAGATAGAAGGAGACAAAGTGGGAAATCGACAAAAATGGATATACAACACAGAAGGCAACAGAAAGGTGGAGAGAAACATAATTCTATACAAGATTAAAAGTTTGCTGGCTGGCTGGGATGGACGGTCACTTCCAAATTACGTGCGATTTGCTCGTCTTAAACTACACCACATGAGTTAATTGACAAATAGCAAACTTGTAAATACTGGGCCTTGGTTTTATACTTTTGCAATGACAGCTTACTTGACCAAATGTCTCTTTCCATAACAAAACGTGAGATTGTATGTTGTTCCTCACTGTCTTGACTATTTAGCCTTTATATGCCTCCGATTAGCACGGTTGGCTACGTACACATTCCACATACTATAACACACGAAAGTATTGCTTCAGTGGTGCAGCATTGCCTTCAGCCCTTAGTTCATGACATCACAAACTCTCTCTAACATTTGTAACCCTTGGGCAATACTATTGCTTTCTACCATTGCTTTCAAATGCATGCTTTATGACTTAATTAAACAATTGAGCTAATTGAGATTACATCTCTATTACAGAGGATATTTCATAGCCATCTGTATACCTATACATTCATGCACGGATGGATACACAATGGTTGCATTTCATATACAGTAAACCCTTAATATCTGCGGGTTTTTTCACCGCGCTTGTTGCTTATTCGCATCGAATTTATTGTCGCGCCCATTTCAAATTTGCTGGGTTGTATTTTAAACATTTGTGGCCGTACCACGCTACTGCCTAGGCGACAAGAAGTGGTGAGGTCGTGGGGGTCGCGGGGGGGGGCGGTGTGGATCGCGACGCCGCTCCCCCTCTCAGTCCGCATCTGTCCGCCACGCCATTTATACGCGAGGCGCTTTCCTTGTACTCATTTTTTTTTTGGGGAATTGCACCCTATGCAACGTCCACCTATTTATTCGTTGACATTTGCACGTTTAAATATGTTTGTGGTCCTTATTGAAAAGGTAAGTTTCATTTCACAATACTGTACTATATATGCATAAGTTACTGTATACACACAGAGGATATGTTTAAACTTAATATACGGTTATGCCCCCCTAACCTGATTTTCCTAATGAGATTTAAGTGTAAGTACTCGCGGATTGAATATTCGCGCAGCTCTCCAGGACCCTATCCCCACCCCCACCCCCCCCCCCCCCCCGTGCGAATATTAAGGGTTCGCTGTACTAATTCCTACTTCCGGTCGTACAGATAATCATGCTTGTGTTGGCATGGAAGCTGGAGGCTCAGAACATGGGTTTCTTCACCCGGCAGGAGTGGCTGAAAGGCATGACCGCCCTGCAGTGAGTTATATGCACAATGGACTAATCACACATTTCTTTAGAACTGCTTTTTGTGTTTAGTTTCTTGTCCTTCCCCCCCCCCGCACCTCCGATTAGCACGGTTGGCTACGTATGGCGTGAAAGAAATTCAACGTACATACAGAGATCCTTCATTAACTTTTAGAGCAATTGAAGCAATTGCCGGGACCTCGGGGTCCCATCACTGCCCCGGGGGTGGGAAAAACCGCGTAGCGACACGAGTCTTGTTACCTTACCGACAACAAAACTAGTGGTCAATCGATTGGCCTCGTCGAGAGCTACTCGGGGCACTAAGTTTCGTAAAAGTTGAAAAATGACATAAACGTTAAATTCACTGCGGGAGCGGCGGGCTCGCCTTGGCAAAGAAGTTGAGGATCGACGGCTGACCGGAGGGCCTCGTCGTCGCCCCCCGGGGCTCGCGTTTGGCCGGTGGGGTGGCGCCCATCGTGTCGATCGCCGCCTGCTGCTGCTGGCGCTTGTTGGTGCGAGTCTGGGTGGGCGGCGCGTTGCTGTCAGGATCACGAGTGGGGCGGACTGAAAAATAATAATTGTTGGCCTGGTTTTTGCGGGACCCCGGGGTCCCGCCAAATGATTCAGTTGTCGTTTCGGAAAAGGGAAAGTGTCTCTCATGCTCAAACGAGCATTGGGGCGGCGCTCATCTCATTTGGCGGCACTCGGCCCGGGTAGTGGAAATTCCACGTTCACATGGCAGGGGGAAATCTCTTAAATGGCGCTAATGTTAACATCCCACTATGAGTGGTTTTAGTGGGCGGCTGTTAAGGTTAGCGCATCGTACAATATGCTGTTGTGTGGACATCGTCGTGTTTGACCTTGTCACAATTACCTTTGCAACTTTGATATTGATACTCCATTCTTAGTGCTTCAGATACTAACGGCCAATTGTGTACACGGGCAATAATCAAATCCACATTTCACAAATTGTAATATAATACAATAACCTCAGCAATACCTCTCCCAACACTGTAGTCTACAGCCCAGGTGGCCGGGCCACCTCTGTTGTGTGAGGAGCGGTAGTGTCGGGGTCCACGCACTGCGCTACGAATCTGGTGACACGAATTTGAATCCCGCTCACGGCCAATACCAGTGACGATTATCTGAACCAGTGATGGGCCTCCCCTAGGTCGACTCCGCCTCAAATGAATACCTGGTGTGGTGTGTAAACATCACAACTGGGGAGATAAAGGCGGTCGGGCGTGGTGCTGGCCACCCATCCCCTCGTGTGCCATGCCGGCCTTCAAAGAGGCTCGCTAACAGCACTTGCACCAACAGTCTGTTGAGGCTATACGGGGGGGGCTCTTTGTCTCACCAGTGAGCCTGTAAGGTCGTTTTGTAAGTTGACCTTAAAGACCACATGTCAAAACTTGCAAGTGTAGGCAGTTGTGTTTGAGTTATGCATAAATTGTGAAGTTGAAACTTAACCATAACCGAACTATTAAAAAAAATGTATTAGGCTCCCCTTTATGGCTACAGTTACCAAGAGTAGAGTATAGACATGACACACAGTTGAATGTAGGTGCCTAACATCTGGAACAAGCTCTCTTTGTAAGACAATATTATAATGATAGTAATTGCAACAATTTGGCCTCTTTGTAAATGCTTGGATGTTTTGTAATGGAAGTCCTCTTACCAATACGTCTGAATAATAAGGCATTGCTTAAGATTCCTTAATAGTAATAATGGCCAACAGTGCGAGGGTGAACCTGGTGGGTAAGGGAGTAATGTTAAGTGGTCAATACATGATAAATGGTATCTACTCATGGCTGGGAACACAAAATGTTACAGCCTGAGTGGATTGTATTACACGCACGTCAGGAACACTGCCTGCTTTTGTGGCATGAGCACCGTCGCGATGCACAGTCACGTTGGCTACTTCCCGTACAACTACGATGTTCACGTACCGAAATAAGTTAACTGCTGTGGTAAGCAAAAGAGGAGGCACTTTTAAGGGTGTTCAAATTGTAGACGAACGTTTAAGCGTGATTGCATACATCAGGGATGGCCAAACCTGTAACTAGCAGCCAAGTGTATACAGTGAGGGGAAAAAAGTATTTGATCCCCTGCTGATTTTGTACGTTTGCCCACTGACAAAGAAATGATCGGTCTATAATTTTAATGGTAGGTTTATTTGAACAGTGAGAGACAGAATAACAACAAAATCCAGAAAAACGCATGTCAAAAATGTTATAAATTGATTTGCATTTTAATGAGGGAAATAAGTATTTGACCCCTCTGCAAAACATAACTTAATACTTGGTGGCAAAACCCTTGTTGGCAATCACAGAGGTCAGACGTTTATTGTAGTTGGCCACCAGGTTTGCACACATCTCAGGAGGGATTTTGTCCCACTCCTCTTTGCAGATCTCCAAGTCATTAAGGTTTCGAGGCTGATTTTTGTCAACTCGAACCTTCAGCTCCCTCCACGGATTTTCTATGGGATTAAGGTCTGGAGACTGGCTAGGCCACTCCAGAACCTTAATGTGCTTCTTCTTGAGCCACTCCTTTGTTGCCTTGGCCGTGTGTTTTGGGTCATTGTCATGCTGGAATACCCATCCATGACCCATTTTCAATGCCCTGGCTGAGGTAAGGAGGTTCTCACCCAAGATTTGACGGTACATGGCCCCGTCCATCGTCCCTTTGATGTGGTGAAGTTGTCTTCTCCCCTTAGCAGAAAAACACCTCCAAAGCATAATGTTTCCACCTCCATGTTTGACGGTGGGGATGGTGTTCTTAGGGTCATAGGCAGCATTCCTCCTCCAAACACAGTGAGTTGAATTGATGCCAAAGAGCTCCATTTTGGTCTCATCTGACCACAACACTTTCACCCAGTTTTCCTCTGAATCATTCAGATGTTCATTGGCAAACTTCAGTTGGGCATGTATATGTGCTTTCTTGAGCAGGGGGACCTTGCGGGCGCTGCAGGATTTCAGTCCTTCAGGGCGTAGTGTGTTACCAATTGTTTTCTTGGTGACTGGTCCCAGCTGCCTTGAGATCATTGACAATATCCTCCCGTGTAGTTCTGGGCTGATTCCTCACCGTTCTCATGATCATTGCAACTCCACGAGGTGAGATCTTGCATGGAGCCCCAGGCCGAGGGAGATTGCCAGTTCTTTTGTGTTTCTTCCATTTGTGAATAATCGCACCAACTGTTGTCACCTTCTCACCAAGCTGCTTGGCAATGGTCTTGTAGCCCATTCCAGCCTTGTGTAGGTCTACAATCTTGTCCCTGACATCCTTGGAGAGCTCTTTGGTCTTGGCCATGGTGGAGAGTTTGGAATCTGATTGATTGATTGCTTCTGTGGACAGGTGTCTTTTATACAGGTAACGAGCTGAGATTAGGAGCACTCCCTTTAAGAGTGTGCTCCTAATCTCAATTTGTTACCTGTATAAAAGACACCTGGGAGCCAGACATCTTTCTGATTGAGAGGGGGTCAAATACTTATTTCCCTCATTAAAATGCAAATCAATTTATAACATTTTTGACATGCGTTTTTCTGGATTTTGTTGTTATTCTGTCTCTGACTGTTCAAATAAACCTACCATTAAAATTATAGACTGATCATTTCTTTGTCAGTGGGCAAACGTAGAAAATCAGCAGGGGATCAAATACTTTTTTCCCTCAATGTATATAAGTGTTTACATTGTTTTTATAGTTTTCTGCGCATCACGGGACACATTAATTTTTCTTTGTTCCTGTGATAGCGCGTTCTACATTATGTCGCTTTCGAAGCCGCATGTGGTGGATTAAAGAACTGCATGCGGCTTCGTGAGACGCCAGTTGGCCACTGCTGGCATGCACGTCCTTCTACACGACCCCACATTTCCATATGGACTCACGGGCAAGTGCCCGTTAGCAAACAGCTATTAGGGCCAGCTTTGTAAATGAAGAGAAGTTGTATGGCCAGGGCTGCTACACTTGGCCACATTTTGCTTCCCCCCATTGATGTTGATGACATCACTAGCTTGGGACAACCTCGAAGAAACCAGTTCAGGTGCAAATAATGTTGGGTGTTGTTGTACATCATGGTCAGGAATATGGGTTTGAGTCATTTCTAAGTACATCTAGAATATTCAAAATATTAAATGTGAAGATCACCGCTCTTAAGTGGAGCACATACTGCCATTTGTATAAGCAATACCAGCTTAAGAACATTTCCACAGCCATAATAGGAAGATACAATGCAAATTGATGCTGCATAGCCTTCTTTCTGTCTGCTGTAGACATCATCTTGCATGTCAAGAACAGTGGAAATGAACGATAATTTACTAAATGTTGCAGGGATTTAGTTTCCGTTTTTGTACAGGTCATAAGTCAGACAAAGCCGATCGCTTTCCAAGAACCAACAGTTGGTTTGCGTTTGGCTTGTTGTCATCCACCTCGTACGGTTGTTTCTGTTCCGATGGCAGATGGGAAGGAAAAAAAATATCTATCGTGGCTAAAAAAACACTGTTGACATGCGATGCATGAGAAGATGTGACTTGTGCTCAATAGTGACAGTACGCTAGACTCATTGTGTGGCGTTAGGTCTATCGGGTTTTGTCCTCTGTTATCAGAGGCTTTTAATGCATTTGCGTCTTTAGTTTTGGCTCGTGTGCCTGTGTCCAAAGCGAAGGACGTTGAGTGCTCCAGTGTATAGGGGCAACACAAGAGTGTCCTTCTGGGTACAGCGAGCATTGTAGAAAGACATTAATTCGTTGTTACGGACAAAAAAAAATACTTCGACAAGTCTCTTGCTCCTACCCCTTGATATACTGGTTCTTGTACGTTTATATCACGTGACTATACACAGTCTTGATGGAGAAAAACAGAGTAGGTGTTGCGTGAGAGCTCGGTTATGTGTCGTTATACATTTTGCATAATGTTACGATGATTGTACCTGAAATTAGACACTGAGGTGGAAAGGCCTTGTTTATATTCCTACAAGTTGGTTAACTCCATGCATTCACAAATATTGTAATTCCACAATGGTACCTAGGTTAAGAAAATATATATATAATGACATCTCTGGTCTTTGTACACCCTGGTAATGAGACTAAACAAATTTAAACTGGCTTTGGGTTTGCCTGCTTAAACACACGCTTTTGGGAAATGTATTATTTCAGTTAATTATTTGGTTGTGAAACTCGCCTGTTTGTTCACGTATTGGTGGTCATTGGTTGTTGCCGCAATGTGCCTTTGCCTTCCCCTTAGGTGTGACAGCTCAGAAAAGCTGCAGGGAAAGTTCGAGTACCTACGCTCGCTTCTCAATGATCCCGTGTCCTTCAAGCAGATCTACAGATATGCCTTCGACTTCGCTAGGGTTTGTCTTGTCCCATGCGCTCCCTCGTCGTGAGGCACTGATGATGGCAGCCCTTTGAAAGGAATATTGTCAAAAGGGAGACGACCCTGCTGTTTAATTATTTCAGCCATTGGAATCTTTCGTATGCAAAAAAACGATAATCCCTAATTAGTCTTTCGAAGTATACGTGTTTGCCTGTATTTTATCTCCGAAAACATGACCAATATTAAGGAGATTGTGATTTAGAGTGTTGATTATCACTTGTATCATTGAGCAAGGTAGTCCATGACCTATGGAAATGAGGGCAATTGGAAATAAAATGTTGAATGAAGGTTCCTGTGGTTTTACACTAAGACACCTCACAGTGCACAATTTGGCTGAGTCGTCCGAAGGGATTTGATGTAGGTTATGCTCCTGTTAAGAGTATTGAGCCAATGTTTATAAAACCTTGGTTTCAAATTCCATTCAACTGGATAAAATAAAACAAAATCCTCCAGAATAGTGAGATGATGATGATTATGGTCCAATCAATATATATTTAGTTATTTTAAACATGTTATAATGTCCTTTCATGATTTGTCCCAGCCATGTTTTGAGGGATACATTTATGAAATGTATCACAAGACGAGGCACGTGGCAAACCACTTTGTGACATGGTAGAGTGCCACCATCCTTAGCTTGAAAGAAGGTCTTTGACACTGGAATTAGTTTGATGGCTCATCCGGGGGCTTTCCCCAACATTACAGGAGGTTATAACTTCTGTAGGGATTTCCAGAAGGATATAACATCAATTGAGATTTGAAGTTTTCGTGACTGCAGGGATCCATACTCTTTGGTTCTTTCGGTAAAGTCACGTAGGTATAAAAGTAAAAAATAAATTAAATCACGACGTTTCAATCGCAACACAAGCGATCGTCATCAGGTGGGAAAACCACAGCAAGAAAATGTTAACACATAACATCAGTACGTACATTCTGCCTCTTCTCCCGCAACAACTTTGCAAATAATGAGTCCTATAGTTGTATCATACTTGAAGTCGTTTATTGCGATGTTTCCTACAGGACAAAGATCAGCGAAGTTTGGACATTGACACAGCCAAGTCCATGTTGGCCCTGCTGCTGGGCAGAATTTGGCCCCTCTTCTCCTCTTTCCATCAGTTCCTGGAGGTGATCATCTCCCCTGGTGGCACACCCCATGGGGAAAGTTGGGCCTCTTCGATTGAAGGACGATTGGTGGCTTCCATCATGAATGTTTTTTTTCCAAATGTGTTGGTTATCAGGCATTGCAATTTGTAGTTCAGTTGTTAAAGCCGGAAGGCCTATCGTAATTTGAATTCTGGCTAGGGATAACTCGGCCCATTTCCGTAATGCCTCTGGGGTTGGTAAAATGTTTGCCTGTTGAACTTCTTTCGCACCGTACGTGACCAACAAGTGGAGAGGCTGCTACACTTGGTAAGAAGGCAACAGAAATTGTGTTATGGACACATGGGGATCTTGCATGTTAATGTGGAATTCTCACCTCTAGCTTGGGGCAGCCAATGAATGAGAGCCCTCTTCTACTCTTATATAAAAGCGCGGGCACACTTGAAATGTGATATATGCTACCAGGTTTTTTTTTAGCTCTATGAGCCACATCTGACCTACCAAGAGTATTGGAGTGGCTGTCGAGCTTTGGCCCACCAAGAGAAGGCTCTCTGCGACATAGATACAGATTAGCAAGATTAAAGTGAGATAAGCAACAGAAATGAGAGAACTGGGGACAATCGATGCATAGTAAACATCACAACCCCCCACTGTATATACACGTGGCATGTTACGTGACATGTTCTTTCGCACTGTACAGAGCCAACCGTGCCAATCGCCTGCAATGAAGCTCTGGTTAGAACATACGAAAAATAATGTTGTCATTTAAGTCCTGGTCAGAGGTTGCTTCTGCCGCTCATCTCTCTGGAGTTAATAAAATTTGTATCACCGTGGGATGTATCCTTTGGTCGTCTTGGGCATAGACTGGCCCTCCACCATAGGAAATGTCCAGCACTTTGTTAGGACCGTAAACACACAAGCAGCACCACACAATCGTTTAAACAAGGAATCACTTTTTTGTCTTTACACAGTACATGGCCTCGTTACATGAAGTTCAATGTGTTTTTGTTTCCAGCAATCCAAATACAAAGTGATCAACAAGGATCAATGGTGCAATGTCCTGGAGTTCAGCCGGACTATTAATGCAGACCTCGGAAACTATGATGAAGATGGCGCATGTGAGTGTTACTGCCATTCATACACAAACCTTACAAGAGAAAGATTAGAGCCAACACAGTCTTGTTCCATTCAGCACATAACCAGACGACATTATTTTTCCTTGGAATATTTTTAAAGAATTTGGAGTTGAAGGAACTAAGCCATGTCTTCTCCTATGCATGGTAGTAGTTTACGAACTTGGCCTCTAATTTAATTGGTGAAGCCCAATTGAGCATTATTAGTGGTTGGCTCAGCCCATCAACCCTCTGTGCACAATTAATTTAGTACTACTTTGTTCTAATTCAACAGTGGTCACTATGTAGAAACTGCTCCCCCCCCCCCCCCCCCCCAGTATAGAATGATGGGATTTTCATCATTTGGATTTGGATGGCCACACAGGAGATGAGCTGAAGCCACAGACTCATTCAGAGCCGGGAGTGTAAAAATATTGCATTGAATGTATGCAGTTTAAGTACTATATTTCTATGTAATCGCTGATCCTAGCAGATAGATTGTAAAAGTGCCTTGTGTATTGTGATCAACATGAGCACTGATGTGGTATAAGTACGATACAATGTATGTGTGTGTGTCATTACTGATCCTTGCCACTCATACTTAAGTACCTAGTCAGGATTCACCTGACCCTGGCCTGGGTCTCCCCCAGGTTAACTCAGCCTAGATTAATACCTTGTTCGATGTGGTCAATATTAGCAACAGGGATACAAAGGCATCCAGACATGGTGCTGTGTACTTTTGTACTAGTATCAAATCGGGCATTTGACTGTTATATTTTTAAATTGATTGACACTGAGGTTAGAGCATCTGTCTGAAATATCGGAAGGTTGCAGACCTAAATGTAGGGTCAGGGTTCAGCTCGGCATGTCCATCCCTGCACGGCCAATTAAAATGAGTTCTACTTTGCTTGAACCGGAGAGAGCGACGAGTGGACTGTGACCTGACCGTGTTTACGACGCTGCCCCTCTGCTGTGATGATCAGGGCCAGTTCTCCTGGACGAGTTTGTAGACTGGCAGAAGCGAAAGCAGCCTTCGTAGGCAGCGTGAAGCCAATCGCAGCCTCGTCCCCCAGCTCCTCTCCCAACATCGGCGTCTCCCACCTCCAGGAGCCAAAACGCGTCACTTAAATGGAAATACTTCAGCCATACACCTCAGCAGTTGTTTAACGCATGCGGAGCACACACGTTATACAGAGCTCAGAGACTTGAAAATTCAACGTGAGTTCTCGCTATCTAGTCCGTACATCCGCCTCTCGCTAACTCGCCCACTCGCGTACGCACACACTGTTGTGATCGCCTTGTGCAGTACACATTTGTATTGTATTTCAGCATTGTATGCATTTCAACAGACCCTGAGCATTGCTTGTATATATGACCGGTTTGTTTTGTACTGGAGTCTGGCAAATGTTTTATCATTTGCAAGCAACTCACAAAACGGCTGTATACCTGTGACAAAAGAAAACATTTTTGAAATTATAATAAAACAGTAGTAATTAACTGACTGGCAACATGCTTTTTGCAGCGTATTTGTTTTTCCATTCATCCTGAACCATTATTTAGCAGTACAGTATTGACATTGAACACACTTTAGTGCTGTATGGACAATTATGAATTAATGCAATGACTAATTGTTGGGAGGAGCACACAAAACTTGAGGATTTGAGGTTTGTGGATTATTATTAAAGCTACGTGTTAAATACTTCATCAGAACTTGAAGAGAAAAAATAAATGCCTCTTTTTTTCTTTAAAGAAAATGTCATTGCAAGAAAATTTCATTTTTCATCACATTTTTTTAAATTTGTGTTTGTTAGTAATTTTGGGAGGGGGGTGGGGGGTACGTTGGTGTTTGGAGCCATGCTTAAAACGTCTTGTACAGATATGTCCATGGATTTACTTGTGGCCGTTTGTCGACTGTTGACAGGCCGCACAGAATAACGTTATTCTTTGACAAGTTCCTCAAGTCTGCAGTGTTCCTCTTGTTTATATGTTTAGCCAAAAAAAAATGTTTAAAAGTGCAAATGTGGGAGAATGTGACACTTTTCTTCAATACTTTAGACAGTTTCGTGTTCATAGTCTCGATGGCAAAGTTGCCAAGGCTTTGTAAACCACAATGTTGGCAATCTTAACATCAAGAAAGAAATAAATTGTATAAAATGTGCTCTGTTATTGGATGTGTTTATGTTCACCGGTACTGAACTCTAGATATGAGCCATTCTCTCAAGCTGTGTTGTATATTTGTTCATGAGCAACGAAAAATTAACAACAGTGTTAATACTTTTTTAAAAATACTATTAAAGAGTGGTGTAAATAAAAAAACCCACCAATAATCTTTCGTGAAAACACTGATGGAAAGTTTTTTTGTAAAGGATATGTTTGCATGTTAACTCTCTCAGCCCCCTTTGACCTGCAAGGCCTCGATGTGTTGCTTTTTCCACATTACATATTCTGCTTTCTAAATAAATTGCCAACGTGTAACAGATTATATACCAAGGATGTAACAATTCGTTGATTAAAATTTGATTCTTACACTTACAATACACGCACTGATTTTTCATACAGTGGTCAACGACACGCTCAGAACGTGGACGTTAGAACACCACTCCAGTGCCCAGCACTCGGAACTCTGCTCATGATTTGTGTTGCATATGCATTAATTAAAAAAGTACATTTAGGCGTAGGGGGCTCCCTTCCACCCCCAAACCCACATGGACTCCCCATGGCCGATTTCCAAAGTGTTTTCAAGTTCCCTGCTCGATGTGACAAATTTTATTGAGTCCAGTCAGTGAAGTAGTGGCTGTAGCCCGCGAGTTTTTAGCAATCGTGCCCTTGGCATTTTGTGTTTTAGTTTGTTGTTCTTCCCCCTCACCTCCGATTGGCACAGTTGGCTACGTACGGTGCGAAAGAAGTTCATACATTAAAATCGAGCAGGTGGTGTGAAAATACGTTGGGAAGGTAGCTATATCGTTTTTTGCGCTCCGCGGGTGCTTTTTGTTCATAAAAGTTGGAGGGGCATGAAAAACGATTACACTAACAGTGACGTGGGTGATGGCGGCGAGTTTGCGGAGGTGCGCAAAGTGTGAATCGCAAGCTGAATATTGCGGTATTAAGGCGTTTTGGCTTCCACTGCTTAGGCCACTATCATAGGATGGAGGGGAGTGTGGTAGCCGCAGCGCCTTGGTCACTGATGATCGAGAAGAGAGAGCGCAAAGAGTGAATGTATGGCGGTTGAAAGAGGGTGCAGGCTATGATGGCGCAGTTGGGGGCTCTCCGTACGGTTCCAAAGGGATCCACGGCACTTCAAGTGGTCCCCCCCGAGTCTGAGAAGGGGGCTCTCCAATGGAGGTCCCCGGGATGAGTTCTTGGCCCTTGTACTTGGATGGGCACCCCGGTGTGATCGACGCACCGCAGTGCGGGTGGAAATCGAAATCTGTTATCTATACTGGAGGAATCCGATGAGCTATGGATCTCTTTTTCACATGTCCAGTAGGGGCGGGTCAGGAAATTACAACAACAATACAAAAACACGATAGGAGTGCAAAGTATAGGAAGGGTAAATTATACCCCAAAAAAAAACCCCTGGGAAACCGCTCCCGGGCTTGACCCAGTTGGCCCTGGTAGTGACGAGACGCTGAACTGCTGAATCATGGGAGAGACAGACGGACTAGAGCCATCGGGTGAGACTGGTGAGATGTGTCCAAGTGATATCCACCCCACACGTGGGCACCGCTATACAGTGGGGGGGGGGAGCAACAACGCCTGAGGGGTGAGAGATGTCTGCAGTGGTCAGAGACCGGTGAGGAGGGCCAGAAGGGCAGTCCTCGCATGCAGACACGAGCTCGAAACCCTCCGTAAATGAAAAAAAGTATCCGTAGCTCATCAGGTTCCTCCAGGGCTAAAGTTCTTGATTCTGAACCACCCAGTCCAGTGGATTCTTGCCAGGGTGAGTGGGGCATCGATGTGTATTCTAAATTAATGCATAGACATAAAACATGCATTAGCCGAGTTTTTTGGCAACTGGAATGGTGTTCTAATGTCCACGTTCGGACCGTGTCAGTGACCACTTTTGAAAACTAGATTTAACGTACGTACTCAAATCTGGTATTGTGTGTAAAAATAATAGTTTTATGAATGCGGTATGTTCATAGTTTATAGATCGCTATATCAATCTAGATGCTACTTTGCACCAGAAAGGAAAAACATTCTGAATCTGACCCTGAATTGTAACGATTCGTCAAATCGCATCCAATTTTCTGCTCTGATGTACAAACAAAAAAAAAGTCTCAATGAATTGACTCAGTTTATTGACTCAATTCATTCATTCATGAAGGCTTTCACAGCTATTGCTTCTTTCGTCTGTACCCTTGTACGCTGCGATATTTCCCCATGATACAGCATTCGTTTTATAGTCGTAGCGACGCACCACCGGTGGCAGCATTTACCCATTGACTCGCCCAATTTGTTGTGACGAAGTGACTCCTTGCTCAAAAGAATAAGGGACAGTGTGCGTCTATCGTTTGCTGCCCTGAGCCAGTTGTGTAAACTCTCTTCCCATGGTGGTTTCGGGGGGCAGGCAACTCCATCGGGCTACCACTTAATTTTCCACAAAGTGGTATGTATTTTATCGACCCCAGCGTGTGGGCCCCCCACCGTTTGGTCGTGACCTTTTTGGGCGAACGGCCGAAGGGTTCAAGGCGCCTGGCGTTGTCGAGGCATTCGAACGCAAGCCAGCGATGGCAGCTGAAAGAAGCTATGAATGAAGGTCGTACAAACACAAAAATACGCGTCGACGTCCATACAATGCTGACGGTTGTGGTTTTTCGGAAGCTTAGCACTTGTCATTTATCTGTGGAAAGTTACTATTTTTGTTAAAAATTTTCTTTGTTTTTTTTTTTAAACAATAAAAACGGACAACATTCAGCGAACTTTTGCCGAGGTGTGATTTGTACGTTTGCATGTGGTTTTTTCTTTCTTTTCATTAAACGTTTCGTGCAAATGATCTGTAAAATGTTAAATTACTGGTGTGTGTGTGTGTGTGCGTGTGATTACAGTTCTGCTCCACATTTTGCTTAGCATTCAAATGCAAACACATTTTTTTGGGAAATCGGCGCGCAAGCCGGCATTGCTTAAGACGTAAAATTATTCTTCCTAAATTAGACCTCCACTTAACATCCAAACGGGTCTCGGCATCGTTAGTGTGCACTTGTAAGCATGTGAATGGTGCTTGCCAAATTGACCGCGCAACAAAGAGCAGTTTTCCCTGCACACTTGCACAAAACAAGGGCTCACCTCATTGCCGAATTAACCAAAGTCTGGTCAGAATTGGACAGGGTTAAAATGTGCAGTGTGTTACTGTAAGCTACTAAATTGTTGCAAATATTTATATGTATGGTACTTGAAGATGTCAGAATCTGAATATTTAAACTCAAGGAATCCGATGAGCTATAAAGCTTATTTTCACATGTCCAGTTTTGTGCATTGCTGACAGCTGTGCAATTTCAGCAATCCCTTGACCATGCAAGCCAGTTATGTGCCTGATGATTACGCATTCCCCTTAATACAATAGTGCACCATATTCCACATTAGGTAACACTTAAGTACACAATACAATACATAAGTGCGATGTATTTATACACAACAAATACTTGAGCCTGTCACAGTCTGTGTTCACTGTACTTTTGCACAGCTAATAAAATGTGTTTGCATAACTTTTTTGAAAGGAAATTTGATATTGAAGCGTTTTAGACTTACAACGTCAGTGTAAGCGAGAATAGTGCTTTGTTCACCCAGGTCTGGCTAGGTGGCGCTGTGGTTGCAGACCTTTACTCGAGAAGATGTCCTCATCATGGTGGTGATTCAGCTCAGCCCATCGTCTCTTGTACATGTTCCGCCCTTTGGTCAACCCAAGGCCGTAATTATAATATATATTGAGGGAGAACACATCCCATACAATATTCAAATATGCTCAGAATGTCCCCCCCCCCCAATAGATTGATATATTAAAAAAACTGCTATGTTATGTAAATACAACCAATTTGCTAAACCTTTGCCACAATATCTGGACGTGTCTTCATATACATCAATGCATAGATTTATGTTGATATGATTGTGGTTATGGTTGTACTTTATTAATCCCTAATCTCTGCCATTACATACAATGAAACAAGAAATGGTAAAAAAGTAAAAACAGAGCAATGTAATAAAATACACCATTCGACATTATTTTAAAAAATAAATAGAAAGTCCATCCTACGTGTTAGTGATTTTTTTTTAATTTTAGGCAGGAAATGAGTTTTCAAATTTAAATATTTTTCTGGGTTGGGACCCCCAGACACCCTGGAAGATTTGGTCCCCCCCAATGTTAACTCCATCGCTACGGCCTTGGGTCAATCTACCGATGACGAGTCCCATGAAGACGGAAGCTTGTGTTGCCTCCGAAACGTCGTGATTTAATTGAGTTTTATTTTATTTTACCTACGTGACTTTACCGAAAAAAACAATGAGTATGAGTCCCATAGGTGTTAGTTGACCACGCCGGCTGGTCAGTGCGGGTTGGTGGTGGAGAGCATATAAGTACAATACAACAACTGCTAATGCCCGCACTGCCCTCGGTTGCCAATGATGTGACCCCGCAGCCCTATGACAAGCCTGTGTATGGGGGGGGGGGGGTCAACCCTTCCAAGCCCTGTCTCGGCTCAAACTTGCTCAGCTCGTCATCCCTTCAGGGTTAACGAAGTGAGTAAGTACTCTGCGATGGAATTGCCACCACCACCGGCTCAGAGCCTGCCCCCCCCCCCCCCCACCCTGCCAACAGTTGCAAACATTCCGCACCGCAGGCGTGAGACACACGGAGGAGACCACGATGAGATGGCTGAGACGCGCCCCATTTCAGTAACGTTGATCCATTCTTGGTAACGGAGGAGGCATCGACACCTGTAATTTTTAAAGTCAAATAAAAAGACGAAGAATATTCGCAGACGTGGGGAGTTTTAGTTCACGTCTCTGACTTCCGATAGAACCCAAGAAGGTATCCTCAACGCATCATTTTCTGAAGGCCTGCTTGGAAGACGTTACCAATGCTGTACACCAATACATTACATTCCGTTCGCTTCCAATGTTACCTCCATGCAGCTGGCAACGCGTGCAGTTGTAATAATGTCTTGGAATCCCTTGCATGGCAAGACCGTGTGTGCAAAAATAAAATAAAAGTTTTTGTGGCCATCAGCAGTTCCCACGGTGCAGTTATTATACCAGGTGGCTGGGGATTTAGTCAGGGTTGTGCACGTGTGGGTTTGCCAAAGGGGTGTGGGGATGAATGCATCGACAGAAGGACCTCAGTTGGAACTTGTCCAACTCGGAATGGGCCCATAGAGACAACAGGGTGCATAGAAAAGAAAAACAATTTGCACGAAAAGAAAAGCGTAAGCTTAATAATGCGTGTGGTTTGACATAACCTTGGGTTGTGTCATTGTCACCTTTGTAGCGTTTACTGGCGGATGTCCAAAGGCAAGGTGCGTTTATGAAGCAAGTGAGCTCTGAACTCTCCAATCTTGGGTGCAAGGCTGGGACCCACAAGGCTAAGAGTAAGGTTGAGGCCAGAGCCACAAGGCCAAGGTAAGGCCTCTTGGCCAAGGGTTCCCGATATTTCTGGACCCATGTAACACTCAACCCTCCCAACATTGATCAGGCACCACCACTATGCACCAATGATGTTTCAAAATGTAAATGATTCTAAATTGTTGTACCCGCACGGGTTCCGCGGACCACTTCTATAAACTATGTTTTATTTTGCCACATCAGGCCCACTGATGCTATATAGCTATTTTTCAGAAGCGACCTGACCACAAATGATAGTTCAACAAAGTGGCTTATCACGTGGAAATTTACCGTTGCCCAAATGCTTTAAACTCACGTTTCTAAATGTGGAGGGAAAAACCCGGAGGAGGACCTGCAAAAAAATCCACGCGACCACGGGGAGAGAGACACAGCAAACTCCAAATATGCAGCAGCAGGCGCGAGGGTCGGGATCGAACCCACGACCTCCTGTATACCAGACGAGGTAGTTAACATCTCACCATGTGTGACGCCGTACCACCAGTGTCCGCTTTTATCGTATTACAGCGCCCACAGCCTTGCGCACCATCAGTAGTCCGGACACAAGTGGGGAACCACTGCCCCGAGCCGACTAGCGCGAGCAGAATGGAAGCTGCCAAACAAAATTAAACGCAACTATTAAGTGAGCTCTAATTAACCTCACCATCTTGAAAATAAATACGTTTTATATTCACCTTAACAATCGGTCAATATCTACACATTTTACGAAAATTATCATCACGAGAAATTATACTTGACCAAGTTTCAAATGCGAGCCAAGTCCTTAAAAGTCCCCGGACCGGGGCTACACGGGACCCAGGTCAAGGAACACGTGCTGAGACAATGTCCCGGAACTGGCCTCAAAAGCACATGTTGCAACGTTCCCAATCATAGCGCCATTTATTTAGGCGTTCAATGCAGTACTTCACGAACGCTGTGCGCGTCCGAGACACATCTACAATGCGGTGAATGTGTGGGTCATATCTCTCATGCTCTGGCTCAAAGAGCGACGATGGTGGTTGTGAATGCGTCCCACCGCTACGTTCCTAAACAGAAACGGGCGGTGGCTAAAGACGAAGGCGGCGTGGCATAAAAAAAGAAAAGAAGGGGCCTAAACCGGAAGGGCTGGGGGCTAAACCGGAAGGGCTGGGGGCTAAGTCATGGAGTCGGAGCCTAAAAATGAAGGGCTGGGGAGCCTTGAACTTTCCTGTTGATGTAAGGTGATGGATGCAGAGAATCAAGCGTGTGCAGCAAGGCAGCAGCGTGAGCCTTTAGCGGCGCAACCGCGGCCACGGGCCAACTCGGTGCATTCCATTGCGTTTGCTGCAACTATCCCCCGGGTCCGATAGCTGGAAACATTTGTGCGCGGTCGCATAACATTCACCAACTCCTCCACGTGATGGCAGCGCCGTCCCGTTCTTACCTTTGAGCAGACCTTGTGTTTGTTATTAATTGTGTGAAGCTGATGGCACCCAGAGCACGTGTAAGCCCTATCATTGGTGTATGAAGGCAAGTTGATGATTGAGATTGCCCTTCAGGAAACGATCTCCTGTTATTCACTTACAGTCTTTTGCCAATCCACTGCTGGATGAGGGCCTCCCCCACGCACGTGTCGATCACGTGAGTTGCTTCACCATACTTCACCACGCTGGTCAGCGTGGTGAAGTATGGTGAAGCCGGTGCCCAGGACCGGTTCAGGCATCGCTCGCCACTGACGTTAGCTCGCCCTGGCCCGGGGAGTCGAACGTATTTCACTGTCCGGTTGATCACGCAATCCGCTGTCCACCGCGCCACCGCTCCACTACCATCCTATACAGAGGTGTAATTCCCTATCGGAATTGCACTTCCCTATAGAGATGAGCACTGCTTCATTGCTCATTTCAACGTGACAATTTCTACTTCTGCGTGAAATGAAAGTAATAATAATTGCATTTAGATATCGCTTTCCGTACTCTCTGGTCTTCTTCGGTAAAGTCGCAATCGCCTGCAGGCGAGAGACGATTGCTTGCGTGGCGATCGAAACGTTGTGATCTGTTTATTTTTTCTACTCCACGTGAATTTTACCGAGAGAACCAAAGCGTATGGATTCCCGCAGTCGCGAAAACCTTAAATCAAGATTGACATCGCTTTTCGTCAAGGATCTCGAAGCGCTGTACAGGACACAGCTGCAGCAGACACTCATAAATACATTTTAAGAATCATTTATAAAGTTAACTAAAAGTTTAATAAACGGATAAAGTATAAATAAGTTTTAAGGCGCATGTTAAAATGTCCACACACTCGGATATCCTTGATATCTCGTGAAAGAGCGTTCCATAGCCCGGGGGCTACA